TGTTTCCCGGGAAGAAAGTCCAGGTGAAGTGTTGAGGGGACAGTCCCATTGGGAGGACCACAGCAGCCACAGCAGGCTCACAGGGTTATTTCCAGAAAAGAAAACAATATGTGGCCATTAAGTAAGGCGTACTACAAAAGGATGGAGAGAAGGTATTAGGAAGTATGTGGACTGACAAATGGAGGGGACTGCTGAACTAGTAAAAATTTATAATAATAATAATAATAATAATAATAATAATAATAATAAATGTTTTAGGTCAGGGTGCCCAGGAGTCCCAAGAATTTCTCCTGGTAATGTAAACATTTTTAAGAAATGGGACAGCTTGAACCAGCCAAGAAAGCAGCCACCACCCTTTGTAGGCAGAAGAACTGAGTCTACCTCCCAATCCCAGAATTTCACTGTAAATCAGTTGTGCAGGATAAATAAGCTCATTAAAATATCCCTACTCCTTGCTTTTCCTTCCTTCTCTGACTCCTAGATGCTTGCTAGCCCGTGTACAAATAAAAATGAAGATTTTGTTTCAGCATGAATGACTATTACTGACTCTCAACAAAATCCTGTTTTACTACAAACTCTTGTAGACAGCAAAGGATGTAACATTTGAAATACTATTGTAATGAAATGGCACTTGTCTCAATAGGATTAAATACATCATGCACAACAAATAAAAATGTGCAGGAAAGTATCTTACATTTTTAAAAAACTATAAGTTTGAGAATGACAAGCTGACATACAAAAACATTTCTCTAAATGACATTCTAAACAATTCTCAGGATTAGAGAAAGAGTATTGGAAGTGCCTGCAAATTATTGTGCAATAAAATTGCATGTGTGTATAAATGCAGCCTGGCAACAGATTCATGTTCAGATTCACACTGTAAATGCTTCCAGAAGATCTTCTTACATCCTTCATGATCACTAACACATCACTGGCACATTCACACATTTTTACTTAGAATAACAAAATATGACAATGTCTTTAAAACTACCCATTCCTTTTCCTGTAGACCACATAAAAAATAAATCCCAAAACACTGAAGTCACTGTTTTTAAAAATAATTTCTCCCTAAAAACTGGTCTTTGATTACATGAAATCTCATTTGTAATTACATAGCACAAACAAGACAGAAGCAAAAATGGACTTACTTTTGGAATATCTGAAGAAAATATTCTAGAAAGTTAATTTGCCCCTGTGTTTCCTTGCTTCAAGAAAATGGTTTCTATTTCTTCCCTGTCTCTATCACGTCTGTACTGTGCTCATTCTGTTTGCCTGTTTTGAGTATTCCCAGTCAGAATGACTGCTTTTGGAGGAAGATCGTGGTTGTCATTTTCTTGCCCTGCTGAGCATTGTGTTCACGTGACCACCCTTGAACAAATTTCCTCTTTATTGACTTCCAGCCAGTTCCCACGGCAGAGAACTGCCAGCCCTACTTATTTGACTAACTATAATGGCTTAAAAATGTGTGTTGCAGAGAGAATCCAAATTTGTGACTTGTCTATGCCCCTCAAAAAAAGAAATAGGCAGATTTCAAAGAACAAAATACTGTCTTTTAAAAGGTGAAACATAAAGAGCTCAGAGTTCTGAACTCATTTTCTGGTCTTGAGTCAGATAATCTAATCAGGTTTTGAACAGCACAGAAAGCAATACCTCGATTTTGTTTTCCTTCTGTGCCACATCTTCCCTCCTATCCCCTTCATCACTTCCTGGTCTTAACGGCACCAGCCAATGAGCTTCACCTCTGAAATGTGCTCACAATGAGGCTTGGGAAATATGGCTCAGAACAACATTGAGCTATATGTAGGAGATGAAAATCTAAACGAAGACAACCATAAAAGGGCCTTTCATCTTGGTAAAAACCAAGCCATACTTTAATGCAGAGTTATTAGTAAGGAGGGAAGCATAAGCCACTGTCCAGCCAATACTTAGAAAATTCTATCTTACTTACGTAGCTTGAAATAACGAAAATTAGTTTCTGTGAATCAGTGCACTTTCGAAATACAAGTCTACAAAAATTACTTGTAACTTCAGATAATAGTCTCTGTGATTACACAATGAATCCTGTCAGATTTTAACTTATAAAACAAGCAAATACAGTTGAATCTCTGAGATTCAAGATTCAATTCTGAGATTATTTCTGCGCTGCTGATTGAAATAAACTCACAAGCTCTTGGAAGGGGTTGTTGCTCAGTAAGAACCGAGGTCTATGTTTGTGCTCTGATTTCAAGTTTCCCGGTCAAGACACTCAAAGAAACAGCCTTTTCTTCTATAATTGCTGCTGTCCTCCTTGAAAAGAGTCTTCATGTCCAGAAATCTGCCACATTTGCTTTGTCAAAGGTTTTCCGGAGTTAGCTCTGCTTTGTCGAGTCCCCCAGCCCCCACAGGAATGATTTACAGATTACTGTGCAACACACCACTGGGACCTCTGCTGTCTTGTAAACATGCAAAGAGCCAGGAACTACAAAATAAGATGGTATTGTGACATCTGCACTACATGATTTCATACTGACCATTTTTATACTAATTCACTAATTTGTTCTAAAACAGTTTTGATTTTGTTGTTGTTGTTGTTTTTGTAGATTGGCTCAGTGTTCTGAGAGCAAGGACCCAAAACTCCCCCATGAAGAAAATCTACCGGGTTTTTGTTTTATATTTGTTTGCTTGTTTGTGTGTGGTTTGTTTGTTTGTTTTTGTTTTGTATGAAGATGGTAAGATTATCAAACCATTGGCTTGACAGAGAACATGGCTTAGTTCAAAGGTTTCAACAGTTTATCAATGCCCTGGATGAGAAACACATAATTCAGGTTTTTAACATAGGCTTTCTCTGGCTTGAATTACTACTTCGGTCAATGTAATCCTAAGTAATTGTTATAATAAACAATCCTAAAATTTCAATTATTTTGATATCACAAAGCAGTTTGTAGAAGTTCATCTTTCTTCTTTATTACTCCTCTCAACTACTCCACTGTAGGATATCTACATCCTTGTCTCATGACCCCATAATTTTCAAAAACAAGCGGATAGCATGGTTCTCCTGCTCTGAACCTCTGCAATTTCTTCCTTCCGCTGGTCGGACGGAAAAAGCTCTGAAGTCAGGTGATTAGATTATCTGTCCCCACACAGATGATATTAATACCAAGTGTGTCATGCAATGTAACAGATACGAAGGAGTAATCAGATACCAGTCTTGGTCTCTAGAGATTAGAAGAGACAGCTTTTGTGGGCCATTTTAACATTTACTTAAGTTATTGGATTTTGAATTTTATCATTGACAGTTTCATGTCTTTACATAATGACTTTAAAGTGGTTTGTAGCTCCTATTTCCTTTTCATCTGTACCCATCCTCTCTCACTGAAACCTTTCTTCCCAACTTCCCAACAACTTTTCAGCGGCTATACCACTAAGGAAAAATGATGCCTTCTCTCTCAACAACCATTAACTTCTCAGGGGAGCTGTGGGCCTTTTTGGAAACCTGCATTCTACAAGTGCCAATTGCAAATAAAAACAATGTACTGCAATATTGTTAGGAGCATTTTCTAAAACAATCCATTTGTTCACAGAAATGACCACAGAGTATGCATTCTTAGTCATCTAAATGTTAGTGATGTTGAAATGAACACAGTTCTGAAATTCTATTTGGCTCAAGTCTGTAGTATTGTTTTCTTTCATAGAACTCTGAGCTGTAAGTCTTCTTGAGACATTCTCGGTTTTACCTTCTTTCTTATCCTGGAGAAGGTACTGTTGGGATACTAAAATGATACATACCTTTCTTGGTTGGCTCCCATAATGTAGTCCACCAACACATTCTCATTAGCGTGTTTTACTACAAGGATGCTCATAGTGCAAATGAAGAGAGTCTTGAAGGCCGATAGAGGCAAGCAGTGTAACAAGAGACTAATTGCACTGCTTGGGCTTTTGGTTTATGGTGGGTAAAGTGCTTGCCTGGGGACATGCTCAAAGGATTGGAAGTCTCTCCATGGAAATATTTGCATATCTATATTTACTGCTGCACCATTCCCAATAACTAAGAGCCTAGTGCTCTAACAACAGATGAATGGGTAAGGAAAATGTGGTACATGCAAATGGTGGAATTTTATTCACTTGTAACGAAAACTAAAAGCATGACATTTGTTAAAAAAAAGGGGGGGGTGGAATTAATACTATGTTATTTGAAATATCCCAGACTGGGAGAAATGCTCCTTATTTATGCTTGTATGTAGACCCTAGATTCCGATGAAAGAGGAAAAGGGGGACTCAGGATTGGAGTCCTAGTTGCTTTTGTTATTATAACAAACACCATGAGCAAAAGTCACTAGAAGGGAAGACTTTGATTTTAGCTTACAGGTTACAGTCTGTCTTCCTGGTAAGGCAAGAACTCAAGATAGGAACCTAGAGTCAGGAACTGAAGCAGAGACCGTGGAGGAATGCTGCTTACTGGCTTGCCCTGGTTTGCTCAGCTTCCTTCCTTACCCATCCCAGGCTCACTTGCCTAAAGATGGTGCCATCAAGAGTAGGCTGGAGAAGCTTCTATCAGTTGATAATCAAGAAAATGCCTGGGGCCTGGAGAGACATCTCAGTCCTAAAAGCACTGGCTGCTCTGCCAGAGGACTTGGGTTCAATTTCCAGCACACAGAAACTATCATTGTATGTAATTCCAGTCTTTGGTGGTCTTATGCCCTCCTCTGGTCTCCACTGGCATTGCATACATGTGATGCACAGATAAACATGCAATTAAGATAAAAATAAAATGTAAAGAAAATGCCTCACAGACATGCCAACAATTCCTCAATTGAGGTGGCTTTGTTCCAAGTAATTCTAGTCTGTGTCAAGCTGAGAGACACTAGCAAGCACAGTTAAAGAAGACTTTGGAATGAATGCTCCATAAAAATAGAGGAAGACTAGTGGGTGAGGAAGACGACCATCAGGAGTAGTGCAGGGGTGAGGGAGGGGAGCGATCGAGAAGGATCAACAAAAACAAAATACATATGAAAACACCACAATGAAACCCAGTATATTTTTATTTCATTTTTGTTTGTTCTTAGTGCATGTGTGTAGACACATGTGTGTGTGTGTGTGTGTGTGTGTGTGTGTGTGTGTGTGTGTGTGTGTGTGTGTAGGTCAGAAAACAACTTGAGAGATGGCTCTCTCCTTCCACGATTTGGGGCCGCCAGGATCAAACTCTGGTCATCAGGCTTGAAAAGTCATCAGCCTTCACTGCTGAGCCATTTTTCTGGCCCCAAGTAAAGTGCTTTTAATGTACTGACTTGTACCAATTACTTTATCATTTATAAGGCCAGGTAAATCAGTAGGGCCAGTATTAATGTCTTTTTTTTTTTTTAAATTAAAGGCTTGGAGCCTTTGCTCAAGATCTTGTGTGAGAATTCTCATACACTGAGGGCAATTGGTATTCACATACACCATATACAACTCCAGAATCAAGGTAAATTTTTTCACATAACTGCCTGTAAATGTTTGGTTAACTAGTAAAAATAATAGTAACAACAAAAATCTCATAGATAAGAGATTGTGGCAATTGTAATGATGTTGCAGTAGATAGGTTTCAGCATACACAGACTTGGTAAATAAAGACTTGCAAAGCTAGTCTTTTTATCTAAGAGTACACATTTACATCATTAAAAAAATCAACATTTCAGAAATGGTTCAAATTTGCATGTAAATATGCACTTAGTCATTAACGACTGCAATACTGACTCCCACAAGTTTAGAGTAAGTCTGCAAAGTGTTCAGTAAAGAAGAACCAAGGAATGACGAACAGGTCAGAGTGAGTTACAAAAAACAAATAGTGTGCTGTTGGGAAATCAGCTGATTCCCTTCTCCCTGAAATCAATATTTTTAAATTATACCTTACCTAGTCAATAAGGAAAGAAAATAGCTAATGTTTTGAAGTTCAGGGGAGGGGGGAAAATCAATCAGTCGCTGCAGCTTACTCTGAAACATCCATACTATTATAAATGGGTTTTAAAACTTCATTCCATGTGAAATGTGACTTGGTTGTGAAATGTGACCTGGCTGCACATTCTAGCCTGTTCTCACTTTGGCCACCACTGTCAGAAATATTATTCAGAAAAATTCTGACATGAGTTTCGAAAATACTTAGCGCCACATCTGAGATAACTAAGACACATCAATGATATTGAATACTGTCTTTAAAAGGGACGTGAGCTTGAAGATAAACAGAACATTTTGAACTTTAAAGCTCTTCCTGTGGGAGGAGCTTCCACTTCACTGAGGAATCTAGTTCCTCATCAAAATCATCCAGCTCCTGTTCCTTGGAGAGCTCCAGGAAGACCTGGAAAAGAGAATGAACAAAGAAAAAAATGAGAGGCACACCATACGACCTTCTATAGCTGCAAATGATGCAAAGATTGTGTGTTCTTCCTAAGCTTACTCATGTGCTTGCATGTGGATGTGATGTGCATGCACTCATGTCCACATTATGTTGGTTTGTGTATGTACAGGTATCCGTGGTGACCTCGAGTTGATGTCATGTGTCTTCTTCAATTGCTCTTCACACTTTATTTACAGAGGCACAGACACTCAACTGAACCTAGAGCTCTCTAATCAGCTAGTCCATCTAGCCAGGTGCTCTGATTGAGGATTTTGCCTCTGCTTCCGTGGTTTTAGGATTACAGGAGTCAGCCATGCCCACCTGGCTTTTGTGTGGACTCTAGGGATTCAAACTATGGCTTTCACACTTGCTCAGAAAGTGCTTTATCCAATGAGCTGTCTCCTCAGCTATTAACTTATTTCTAGGATGATATACAATCACTAAAAATTACCCACCTGCTCCAGAGTGGACTGTGAGAGGCTGTATTCTTCCAAGTCAAAGTTCTCTTTCACTGTGTAAGATGAATACCCATTAGGAGCTCATTTTTTTCTCAAGAAATTTCACCAATTCATGTACAAATAATAAAAATACAAGATAATAAGTATTTTGAGTTAACTATTAGAAATTAAATACACCATTTAGTCGTATAAAAAGATAGAAATACTGTCCTGTTTTCTTAGAGTTTTGTCAAAGGCACAAGAAAATGAAAAAGGAGAATATTCTAGAATACCAATCTGAAGTAAAGGTAAAACAGGGCTCTCTTTTTGCTAGAAAATTTCCATGTGCCTCCTAAACCTGCCCTTCTTTCTGCCTCAGGAGCTGGTGCTAAGTAACATGTCCCAGTGGGTTTTCAACAGGAAGGAAAAAAAGAAAGAGAGGTCATGGCGTTTATTTTTTCACTCCCTCCCTGACAGGAGTCTCTTGACTGATGGTCACTATTTCTCTCATGGTGATAAATTCTACACCACTCTGCCCCAGGCTGTGTCTTTCTGTCTCTTTAGATCTAATGACAATGGTAACCATTGTGCTCATTTATAGTCTCAAGATGATGTTCTGTGTTCCCATACAGATGTGATGACTACAGAGCCCATGGTCAAGCCATCTTGCAGCCATGCTACTTCTTCTCTCTTCCTTTCCTACTTTCCCACAGAGGGGGCCTCCTAATACCAGCTTATAAGACAAGGAAGGAACAGAATAAGAAGAGAGATTAAATAAAACAACGCACCTTCCTGGCTATAGTCAAGTGTGACCTGAGAGAGGAAAGACCCTAGAGTTGTGCTGGGGTTTGCATTACCCACATTTGATCTGCTAGTATGGAAAAATGAATCTATATGGATGCTCATGGAGCATGCATTGTTCTTGAAAAGTTCTGAACCTAGTTCCTTCAATAAATGTATTAAAGCTGAGAGCATAATGGTGTCTAATGACACTTGAGGAAACGTTAATTACATGCCTACATTTGGCACTTTGTATAATCTTCCCAGAATAAGGTAGAAAAATGGCATTAAAAATTGTTTAAAAATCTCCCAAAATGAGAACCTCAATGTTAACAAATTAAATAAAAGGAAAGGAATATAAGTTAGAAAATGATATTGCTGAAAGCATAAATATCAGAAGGCTTTTAAAGAAGAGCTTTACAGTATTCCAGGGAGTCAGCCTTCCTGGAATACCAATCCCATTGATACTTATCTATTACAAAATACATCCTGTTTATAAGAGCCCCATGGAATCCTTATCATAATGATGCAAACCTATCAACCAGGCTAAAATGAGCCCTACTGAAAAACAGACCATAGTGTAAGAGTGTACTGTAAGATAAGAAAAGAACAACCTATATGGGTGGCCCTACCCATGTGTCAAGAAGACACAAGCTGGGCAGTGTGAGTTCTCAACAGAAGACAGTGGGCAAGATTGAAAGCACAGCCCAAAAAGAGGCATGGGGGATATATCAGTATGAATCTGGAATGTCCTTCACAAGCTATCCAAATAGTCCCAAGTTTGTGAAACTAACTTGAAAGCTTTGGAGCCTTTAAGAGATGGGACCTGACTAATGGAAGTATGTCACTACAGATAAGCCTTTGAAGATTGCACATTCTCTTTGCTCTGCTTCTGGTCTGACACAATAATGTGAGGAGCCCCAGTAACATGCTCCCATCTAACAGAGTTGCCCTATTATACTTTCCCTGCTATGATGGATTGCAATTGTCTGAAACCACATGTCAAATTAAGCTTTTCTACTCATAAGTTGTTTCTGGTATATATTTGGTCACAACAACACTGAGGTAATACAGAAAGTGGTACCATAAGTGTGGTCATTTCTGTGATTAAACATGACCATTTGGTCCTCAAACCTTTGAAACTGGTTTATGGGAGGAATGTGGAAAAGGTTGAGGAGAGGGCTATATGGTGATATTTTATTTGTATTAAAATGTTATTTGTAGGTTAATAAATAAAGTTGCCTGGGGGTCAGAGCTATTAGCAAGCCATAGGAAAGCAGGGCAGTGGTGGTGTACTCTTGTAATCTCAGCACTTGGTAGGCAGAGCTGGGTAAGTCTCTGTGTGTTCAGGGATACAGCCATTATTGGATACACATGCCTTTAATCAATACCAACCATGGAAAACCTGGAGGCCTATACAGACAGGCCGTGAGGAGGCAGTCATGTGGTTGGGTTTACAACCAATGAGAAGGCAGAACAGGAACTCTATATAAAGACTTTAACACAGGGATAGCTCTGGTTCGGAGAGGTAGGACCACCGCAGGAGGAAGGGTAAGGTTTTAGCTCTTAGCTCTGACCTCTTGGCTTTCTTCTTTGCATTGGTTCTGTGTTTCTTATTTAATAAGAAGGTTGGTTACATTTACAGGGCTATAAGAATCCTAGATTACTATAAGCAGAGTCTTCTGGAGGAAGACCCAGATGCCAGTAGAAATGCAGCTGGTAAACACTGTACTCATGTGGTTTCAGATGAGAACAACCCAGAGGTTTCAGGTGATAACTTCATTGGGAGTTAGCCTGAAAGTCATTTGTGTGACTTCCGGAAAAGATGTCTGCTCCAGTTTGTGTCCTGAGAATCTGAGTGAAGCTACATTCATGCATTAGACTGATTAGCTGGGTGGAGAAATTTGAGACAAAACAGCAATCAGAATACAGCATAACTGTTGTTTGTTGCCTTTAGCCAATTCTACAATGAGAGAGAGGAACAAGTGAAATAAACATTTTGAAAAAGTGTGGATTGTGGGTACGTTTAAAGTTACTGTAGACGAAGTTGGTGCAGACAGAGTGACTGCAACTCTTAGAATCATTAGTGCCAGTAAAGAAAAAGAGTGGAAAAATAGGAAAGTTGCCTTGAGAGCCAGACTTCTTCCATAAAAGACCATAAGGTCTAGAAATGTAAGCTCAGCTGGAAAGTAAGTGACTGAGCAGGGAGAGTACCAGGGCACTCTGCTGGTGATCATGGATATAGAACTTTCTGGTTTCAGATAGCCAGGCACTCAGAGGCTGCTGCAGCCTTGGTGAAAAGGCATCTGGGTATTTCTTAAATTGACCACAGAACCTGGAATCATTCACGTGATGCAAGTTTTGCATGTATTCATAATGCAAAAGTTATGGAGTGATTGGGTCTTGCACCAAGGTTCCCAAGAAAAGCTTGGGAGGCCGGAAATGTATCGTAGAGTCAGATTCGTAGGCAAGCCATCACGAAGCTTTGAAGTGTAAAGTCTAAGTTGCAGTAAAGACTTTGGGATGTTGGAGATGCCAGAGCTGAAGAACATCTGCTAAGGAAGTGTTCAGGTTTTGAGTAGAATAGGCCTAAGAAGGAGGTCATATGTGCTAGAAGTGGCAGACTCATAGGAAGGGCATTCAAAATGCTGTAGGCAGTCACCTCATGCCAAAACACAAGCTGGATGTCTGACATGGAGCTACAAGAGTTAATGTGACTGACCCTGTGTGTTTTGTGATTTTCTGAAATCTCTGCCTGCTATCCTTCTGCTACTCCCTTTAAATAGGAATTGTTTCTCTGGGCCATTGTTTGTTGGAAGTATGTAGCGTTCTCTTTTGTTTTACCAGGGTTCACAAATCAGAGTGTGTCTTGAGTCCCATGAAAGACTTTTGAACAGAATTGGGACTTTTAAGAATTATGGGGACTTTTGAAGATAGACTGAATGCATTTTGCATTATGAGATGGACATGCCAAATCACTTCTTGTTGAGAACCACTGGATTGGATGTCTTAGCAATTTATTAATTGTGTATCATGAACATTCTATGCTTTTTAAATCTGGTTTGAATTTTTATGGGGTTTTTTTTTTGGAGTTTTAGTTCTAAACATTCACTTACGTCTCTCCAGTTTGAAGAAAGCCTGTGATAATGGCCGTACATCTTCAACAGGCAACTTGTAGACCATCAGAGAGGAGTATCTGTGAAGAAGGAGGAAGAACACTGGGTTTCAAGGTTGTACCCTCAGATGCGTGCATGCCTGAATACAAACAACAATCCTGTCAACTATTTGTGTAAATGTACATCTTTTTTTCTTTTTGGTTTTTTTGAGACAGAATATCTCTGTAGAACAGCTCTGGCTGTCCTGGAACACGCTTTAGAGAGCAAGCTGGCCTCGAACTCACAGAAATCTGCCTGCCTCTGCTTCCCAAGTGCTGGGATTAAAGGCATGCGCTACCACACCCAGCATAAATGTGCATCTTATGACCTGAGATGGCTGCAGTTCCAGTACTCTCTGATCAACAAGAAGTCAGTCTTTGAGGAGCAAGACTGGGACACAAGAGAGGAGACCAGTAGCAAGATGCCTTAAGAAGGGAGGGAACAAGACTGTTCCTCCATGTTAGGAACAAGAGAGTATCTAAGCAGAAACTGTGAGTTATTTGGTATCACCTTATTGAGCCTCAAGAACCACCACTAATACAAATGCTGAGAGATGCCATTCATGGACTGTGTTGGATGTCTACTACCACCACATAGTACAAATGCTGAGAGATGCCATTCATGGATTCTGATGGATGTCTACTACTACCACTGAGTCTTATCAGGGACATCTCCTTTAATAAGGACTGTTACACCCTCTGGCAAAGATAATATAGCCACAAACATACAGTAGTACATGGCACATTTCAGAGCCCCACAAATGCTAATTCCCTCACAAGAGCCAGCCTCCAATGAGCAATTTATTGTCTTAGTTATTTCCTGTGGCAGCCATTGGGACATAGGGCTTTCCTTAGTCATGAAGGTTCTCACATTGACTGAAGTTAAAAACAATGAGGAGATAGAACTTTCATTTCTCATGATTCAAAAAAAAACCCCACCAAAAATAAAGATTAAAATGATACATTTGCATTACCTTTCCTGCCGAGCAGCCTGGGGGAAAAGCCTCATGATCTCTGTGTTGATGGGCTCCACCTGCATGGAGGTCTTCACCTTCATCTCTAGCAGGTAATCTTTGCCAAATTTGCTTTTCAGATGTTGGATAGAACCAATACATCTGGAGATAAATAGGAGGAGGCTAAAGTCAAGCAAGGCAAAAAAACTCTCTATGGCTCGTGCAATTCATCACCTGGGTGTTAGGGGCAGGGCCAGGCAGAAACTGGCACTGATTCTCCAGCTTGTCACAGTGGGCAATGTTCTTCTATCACAGAAGGTAACCTGGGGTCAAGGGCAGGCCTGGCTGGTACTCACCTCAGCCTCCCAGACACCATGATGGCCACGCGGTCACACACAGCCTCTGCCTCTGCCATGTAATGTGTGGTCAGGAGGGCGCCCCTCTCTGTGTTTGTAAAGGTGGCCCGGATCGCCTGCCTAGGGTTAGGTCAAGGAGAGCCACTGATTAAAGAGAATTCTCAAGGAATCGTAGAACCTTTTAAAGATGTTTCCATTAGCACACAGGCAAAACAAGAAGTGCATCCAGGAGAAATCAAAACCAAGGTATTTTTGTAAGATTGACAGATACATAACCTAACTTTTGGTTAGGGTGTATCATTTAGAAATGGTTTGGGGCCAGGCATGGAGGTTGATAGTGACGAAATGTTGCTCTCAAAAGTGCTGAACAGCAGGAGAACTAGTGAGAAGGCAGAGGGGAAGAAGTGAGGACTTCCTAGAATATGTGATAATCATAATGTATCTATATGATCGATTTTAGAAATTTCATAAACTAATTAATATATTGAGGACTTGGGGTTTTTATTTTCATCTCCACATCAGGTTGTTATTGCAGAGGATTTGAAGTTTAATAATTGATTGAGTGGACTAACTGTGCCCTATGCATACTGAGATCCAAGAGGAAAACAGGATTCTTACAGTGGGTGTTAGATGTAAGGAATATGTCTCTTGCTTTTGTATTACAAGTGTTGGCCAGAATATGAAACTGCATACTTTTTCTATTAATGTTGCTTTTCCTGCTAAAGGATGAATATCTTTATGCTTTTAAGGAAACCATGCTGAAAGCCAGTTTTTACAAGATACATAAATCTACATGAGTACTGCTCCTGAGATCTTACCACATTTGCTGCTGCCCCTCAGGGTCCATCCCAGTTGACGGCTCATCCAGAAGCACCACAGATGGGTTCCCCAGGATGCTCAGCCCAAAACACAGCTGCAACAAGAGGAACAACCTGTCTATCATCAGCCTGCGGGATGCAGAGTAAGATACTGAGCCCTGTTCATACCTTTCTCTTCACTCCCTCCGATAGGGTCTTTACTGGAGCCTTCAACTGGTCCTGCAGGTTGAGTGCATCCACCAACCTGAAAAATACAATGAGTCGATCTTCATTATGCTTGAGCAGGAAGGAACATAGCAAGCAAATGTAAATAATACTACAGTAGTGAGAGATTTAAAAGTCAACAGAGTGGTCACAACTTCGATATCCCTTAGGTTACTACTACTGTTTAGTTGTGGTTTGCTCACCAAGGATTCATGCACTTATTCTTATCTTTCTCTGGTTTCCTGTCTGGCCATATCATCTCCCACTCATAAACAATGCTGCACTGATATCATTGCTATTTGGCCCTCACCAAAGGCTAGATCAAAGGCTGACATCTTGAACTTTCACCTCCAAAATGGAGTTAAATAGATAAATCTCTTTTCTTCAAATGTAGTCAGACACATAGATTAAAATGACATGAAGCTAGCTAATGCTGGTATTTTATAGCCCATTTTGCTCATCACACTCTTATTTCCATATTAAAAAAATTTGGCAGACTTTACTCTCTAGACTTAAAGTAAGAAAAAACAATAGTGAGCTAGGTTCTAGATGGCCAAGTCTCCCACAATCAAGGGGCCACTAGTTAGGAGCTCCAATCTTTAATTTTGTGTGAACACCATTAATAAGATATCACCCTCCTAAGCAGGTAATGAGTGTGACTTTTCCATGTACCGTGTAATAGTGTCCAAGGCATCTTTTTTCTTCAGCCCCTTCACAGCAGCATACAGCTCCAGATGTTCCTTCACTGTCAGGACGGGCCACAGCACATTCTCCTGAGGACAGTACCCCAAGAACCCGAGGGCAGCACCTTCACCACACCCTTTCAAAAATACCTACACACAATAAAATCTTTCTCAGATTCTTTTCAAAGCTGTGCATGTGCATGCATGCATGCGTGCATGTGTGCATGTAAGTGATACCAGAAATGATGTTCTCTTCATGCACCTGGGTACTAAGAGCATAATAGTAAAAATACAATTGCTTTAACAAGACTATGTTATAACAACACCATTTGACATGTCAAGCCAGATAAGAGAAATTTCACATGGTCCCAGGCTCCAGATGACAATCTACAGTTTGTCAATGGCTGCTGAGAGAGGAAGAATCAGTTTCCTCCAGGGATGAGCTTCTACATAGCTTGTCTAAACCTAAGTGGTCAGGTCTGGACACATGTTCATATGAACAATGCTATTCAGACTCAGTAGCTTGTATATATGTGCGTATAGAAAGATGGATAGAGGTGTATTTCTCTCTCTCTCTCTCTCTCTCTCTCTCTCTCTCTCTCTCTCTCTCTATCTATCTATCTATCTATCTCTATCTGTATGTTTACATGTAGCAATGATAATTAAGAGACCATGAATTTGAGAGGTAGGAGTGGAACATGGGAGAAGTTGGAGAGGAGGAGGAAGAGGCAGGAATGATGTACATGCAGTGCTCATGTATGAAGTTCACACAAAAATCATTAAATGTTTAAGGAGTTAAGTAATCACTTAGCTCTGGGGAAGTGATGGACCTCTCAACCATTTAAAAGGCAAATGTTCCACATTATTATATCTTAGGATTCTAAGTTTAGACTTTATGACTAAATCCACCACTGCAGTTCAAGTTAAGATTGCTTAGTCGGTGACTTATTACTTGAGTTCTTTCACTGATCCAAATGTTCAAAACAATGGATACTTGTTAAGCATTCCATTTCCCCAGTAGGGCAGTGGTGCTTAGTAAAGAGCACTTCTCTTCTCAGGGTACATCTCACACTATCTAGAGACACAATATTTGCTTGTCACAACTGTGTTCACTTCTGTGGTGGAAAGGGTACTACTGGCATCTAGTGGGTAAAAGCCAGAGATGCTGTGAAATATTCTATACACAACATTTATCCAATCCACAATGCCATTCATTCTAAAGTTGAGCAACATTGAAGTGACTAACAGAGAAAAATCCCTTAGCAATGTATCTACTACATGAGAACCAACAAAATGGTAATATTTATTATTTTGATGAGACCAGCACTGTGCTGTATTTAACAGCTAATGTGTACTCAGTGATCCTGTGTGCTGAAACCTAAGCATTTAATAGATCTTAAATTATATTATCCTCAGAAATCCCTACAGTTAGCTGTGTTCTTATTAGATATTTGAACCTAATGCATTCAAAGGTTGAGAAATTTGCACAAGGGTCACAGAAGACAAACTTGGGACCTGAAACTAACTTTAGTCTAATTGACTTTTAGAACCTAAGCCTTTGACCATGATCCTCTGTTATTGTCTCTCTCTGGTACAAAAGAAGAAGAAAAAAACAAGTTAACTTTGCCTTGGAGAACTTTCATTCTAGAGAGAAAACAGGAAATAATAATTTGAAACATAGGTGGACTGATGCCAGCCTCTGCTTTCATGAGAATACATGCACTTAATATATAAATTAATAAAGTAAATAATCCAGGCAATAAAAGGTCCTTTGAGCAAGTGGAACTTAGTGATACTAAGCAGATGGCCAAGCACCTGAAGATTGCTCTGTCCACTGGGAGTTCAAGCCTGCATACCCTACAGTGAAAAGAGCAAGGGCCAATCCAAGGGGCAGAGCAAGAGGGAGGCAGTTGGCACAGCCCACATTGTGCTAAGCCATCTGCAGCCATGGTAGAGTTTGGACCACTGTGTTAAGAGTTGGCAATCAGGAGAGTGATGTGTTTTCATTTGCATTTTCAAAGGACTGCTCCAGTATCTGCATCAGGTAAGAGCGGAAACGGAAAGGCAATTCATGAAATATCTTTAGCAATCAGTACCCTGTACAGCAATCCTCCATTAACCTGCCCTCTGACCTTCACCTCAGATCAAATGGCAACAGCATGTTCCTCTGAAGTCGTAACTCTGGTTTCTGTCCATCATTTATCTAATTTGGCCTAGAAAAGTGCAGTTTATATACAATTTAGGAATTTATCCTAGACCATGGACAGTTGTGTTGCTTATCTCTAATGTCTGTCATCTTAGGAAGTTCTAGGTCTCCTCACAGCACCAGAGTGGTGCTTTGAGAACCCAGTACAACTCCAGGAGCATCTGACACTGCCAGCATCTCTCCTGTCACTGGAGATATCATCTGCCTTCTGGCCAGGTTTTATCTCAGTTATCACCAGAAAGTTTGGCTGACTGTCTTCTTTGCAAAGACACCCTTGGCCTCCGGCTACACAAATGGCATGTAGCCTTTAATTACAGCATGGAAGCAGAGAACAGTTATTAAATATGGGGCTTCATGACTGTAACCACATTAGCAAGACTTGTTGGGGATTTAGCAGATGTCTTTAGTGTAATCCTGGATGAGAAAACTCAGTTTACCAAGTTCTTGGGACAATCAACAAAACCATGGTGTCTTCATGAAAGTATACATGAGTGTGTGTGTGTGTGTGTATTTGTATAATGTATATAATATTTTCATTAATATTCTCTACTCAAGGGCACTATACTGATAAGATTAGCTCTTCTCAAAAATTATTTTTTGCGTTAAGCAGAAAAAATTAATCAACCATCTTCAATTCATATCACTATAATCGACTAAGGACCAACCGTGTATTCTTAGGTTGACATGAATGATCACTATAAAATGCTTGTTCTAGTCAACATTGTGGAACATATTTCTTCATGTGTTACTGACCTTCCCTGCAGTTGGTTTTGTGTCTCCGGTTATCATACTAATTGTTGTACTTTTACCAGCTCCATTGTGTCCTAAAAGCCCCAGAACTTCACCTGGAAGAAACAGGTACACTCAAGAGCACACAAATAAGTTAAAAAATAAAACTAAATACAATTTGTGCACTCTCTCTGCAGAGAGGCACTATACAAAATGTACTACGTACATTATTTCAATCTCTTTCCCTCCCTCCCTTTCTCTCTCTGTCTCTGTCTCTCTCTGTCTCTGTCTCTGTCTCTCTCTCTCACACACACACACACAAACATACACACACTCTTGACGTCATTACTAATTTCATCTTATAGGGGAGAGATCTGAATCTTAAAGAATGCAGACAACTTGCCTAAGGTAAGTTACTAAGAGACCAAGCTAGAATTTCAAAGAACACTTATTACAGTTACTTCCACAGCAAACACTATTTTTTTTTCTCAACTTGAGACAGGTTCTGACTATGTAGTCCAGACTGCCCTGGAACTCATGTATATATCTCAGGGTGGCCTTGAATGTTTTATAATATTCTTGCTTTAGCCTCCCAAGTTCTGGCATTATAGGCATGAATTGTTATCCCTAACTACCATAAACTATTTGTTAAGAATGAAATATACACTACCGTGACTCAGTCAGTCCTGTTTATTTTGGAAAATTTCAATTTTCCCTGTGCCAGGAATTAATCAACCCTATGCCAGGAATTAGAACATATCTCATTGGTAGAATCTTTGCCTAGCATTCATGAGGCTCTGGATTTATCCTCAATACTGAAAAGTAAACAAATAATTGAAATACTTAAAAATTAAATAAAGTCTATGCTATCCTTTTTACCTCTTTCAGTGTGTTTTAAGAGAGAGGCTTAACTTTCCCTTTGCAAAGAAAAACTGTTACGATTAAAACTGAGGTTTGTCAGCTGGAAGGCACAGCCTGAAGCTCCTGGTGAGGCAGCTGCCTTTCAGTGTTCACCAACAGATGATCACAGTCTCACACTCATAGCCCCTTAGAAAGGCCCAGGCTTCAGAGCCCACAACAGCTCTAGTGACAGAACCATGGTTCCTAACCTTTTTTAACACAGAAGGAGACGTTCCTTGTGGCGACCTTTTTCTTTGCTTTGGAAAAGCATTTTTTCTTTTTGCTTGTGTATTCCTTCCGCAGACAGCTAGCAATGATGACTGGCCTCTGTAAAGAGAGGTGAATATCAGTGCAGCATTCTTCTCACTTTCCCTGGAGAGACTTCTTCACACCCCTTCCACCAGGACTTCCCTTGCGTAGAATCACAAGCCAAACCACTCCTGCTACAGACTGCTGTTTTCAAGTGAACTCTCCCAAGTCCCTCTGTGGGCATTTGATTTTGCAGTGTTGTGTGTGATTTGCGCTTGCTCTTCTGCAGAGAGCTAGAATAAGGCCACTCACATAACCAATAATTTGTTACAGCTCACACACACACCCACACACACTCATACATGCACAGGCACAGACTCAGGCACAGGAGAACTCTCTTCTGAATTGTTTGCAACTAGCTTAGCTTTGATTAGAAAACTCATAAAAACTGGGGCTGGAGAGATGCACAGTGGTTAAGAGCACTGGCTGCTCCTGTAGACGACCTGAGTTTGGTTCCTGGCACCCATACGAGGCGGCTCAGAACTGCCTGTAACTCCACTTCTAGGGGAATCTGATGCCCTCATTTGGCTTCTAGCATTTGTGGGCATCTATGAAAAATGATGCCCATTCATACACTCAGGCACATGAATGTCCACATAAAATACAAAACAGTCCTTTAAAAGAAACTCATTAAAATATTAAATTTTCTAATGTTTAACTGTACATATCAAACTATGACTCTGAAAAATAACAAGTTGGTGTGTGTGTGTGTGTGTGTGTGTGTGTGTGTGTGTGTGTGTTTGAGTGTGTGTGAGTGTGAGTGTGTGTGTGTGTGTGTGTGTGTGTGTGTGTGTGTGTGTGTGTTCCTTTTGCTTTCATAGCTTGTGGTCACTGCATACCTACGGACATCAAGTGATGAACCGTAAGAGCAAAAGAACCCCCATCCCCCAGCTTTGAAGAGAATTAAGATTGGAATGTTTCTCGTCTAGCTGGCAGAATTGTTTGAGGAAGAAAGGAAGAATACTTTTATGAGCTCCACCTCTTCCATCTGTAGGGCAGTCACAGCACCTGCTGTTCTCATTCTTTCCATCTGAACATCTTCATCCTCTTCTCCGGGTTCTTCTGGGTTTGGAAAAGCATTACAGCTTCTTGGAGAAATTCTAAAATCCAAACAGTGTGTTAAACTTATCAGGTATTGAAATAGACGACTGGGAACAGCACCACTCCAGTCTTCTGCTCTATTGTGTACCTTTCAAATACCCTCATTTTTTTCTACCAATGAGTCAAATGACTCTGCTCCTATTCATTCTTGTGTTTTAAATAAATATAGTTCTCTTAATCAGTGATGACATTTCTCCCGTCAACTATCAAACAGCACACTCCCACTGTTATGAATGTTAAGGCAGCTTTCCTTGAGGAAAGAAATCTAGAAGTGAATTGGGGGTATATTTTATGATGCTGTAAGTTTCATAAAAAACGAAGGGCCAGAGCACATGAAATTAGGAACATAGCCCAGTGAGACTGGAGTGTCTGATCAGCATCCCAAAGTCCATTCAGTTACTTGGTGTGCTCTTAAGAATGTGTTTGTCAGCCCTTCCTGCTGCTGTCAAACAAGACTTCTAATCAACAATAATGAGTTGGTTGATTCTTTCTTCTCTCCCTTGGGTCACCTTAGTTACTATGCTTGGATGGTTTCCCTAAACCATGATATCAGCTGGTCACTCTTTTTTTTTCTTTTCATCAAATGTAGATTTAAGTTTGATTTTTTATTTTGTGTGAGAAATTGGGTGTGTGTGTGGTGATCTGAATGAGAATGGCCTCCATAGGCCCAGATATTTGAATGTTTAGTCACCAGATAGTGAAACTGCTTTGGAAGGACTGGGGTGTGATCTTGTTGAAGTAGGTGTGGCCTTGTTGGAGTCAGTGTGTCACTAGGGGTAGGCATAGAGGTTTCAAGAGCCCATGCCAAGCCCAGTCTTCCTCTCTATCTCTCTGCCTGTTGTCTGTGCATCAGGATGTAAATGTCTCAGCTAGTGCTCCAGCGCCATGCCTGTATGCTTCCCTCCATGTTAATCATGTACTAACCCTCTAAAACTGTAAGTAAGTCTCCAGTTAGGTGCTTTCTTTTATAAGAGTTGCCTTAGTTATGGTGTCTCTTCGAAGAAATAGGACAGTAACTAAGTGTGCAAAACATATGAGCAATACATCAGTTGCTCATTAATTAATTTTTAATACCTTCCCCATACTTCCCTATTTCAGTGTCTTCCAATATCCAGCTTCACTTTTATTTTCTGCTATCCTTCAACACAAGCCTTTAAATTTGTTGCAGCTGTCTCCTCAAGTCTGTGGGAAAAGGGCCTACATCTCAACCATTGTCTTATTGCTCAGTGTATTTCTTTCATGGACTGTCAACATGTATCCAATTGCTTATCTGTATTTTCCCATTCTTTTAAAGATACCACCTCTTGTGGTATAAACCTAAGTGTGCCAGTGAAATTTCCATCTCTCCTAATTTGTCAGGGTCTTGTGAACACTAATGTCACTTTGCCTACTAGACTGTAAGATCGTGAATTATAATAATTTTGCTGGCAACACAGGCCCTTAAAAACAACCATGGGTTGTCCCCCCCACTAATTAATTTAGGCAAATTAAAATGTCTAAAGAATGAAGATGAAATGAAACACGAAATTGTATTTGAATGCTCTCAACCTGAACACAGGGTCCATTCTCAGTGATTTCTTCCTGAGGTACCTTTCCAGACATCGCAGAACAAAAAAGAAAAGGAGAAAATGGAAGTAAGGCTAGGGACAGAGAAAGAAAAACAAAATTAGCTTCATCATAAACACAATCGCTTTCATATTGGAGTTAATTTATGAGACTGACCATGTATAAAATGGCATTTGATAACATTCTCACAAACCTGAATATAATCTACTTGATATTGTCTGAATCTGTCAAAGTTAGTCCTTTTGTTACTCAAAAAAGGAATACTATAGACATAGTAATAGTGGGCCAGCGAGAAAGCGCAGTTGATAAAGATGCTTGCTGCCAAGCCTGATGACCCGAGTTCAATCCCCGGGACCCACATGGTGGAAGGGGAAAATGATTCCCACAAGTTGTTCTCTGACTTCCACATGCATGCCATAGCATGTCTCCCCTCCCAAGTAAATAAATGAATGAATGAATGAATGAATGTTTAAAAAAAACTAACAGTAGTAATGAGTTGATACAAGCACTAGTAGTGCTGTTTAGAGTTTGGGCTCCACACTTGTCATCAAATGATCACTGTCATGTGAGTGGCTCAGATTTAAAGGTGTGTGTGTGTGTGTGTGTGTGTGTGTGTGTGTGTGTGTGTGTGTGTGATTTCTTATGCCCCCAAATTTCCACATAATTTGTTGAAACTCAAAGAAACACAAAAATGTACAAATGTCCTATTGTTACCTGCTGTGGGATGTCTTTCTGTATGCTGTGAATATGTGTTGCTCTCATTGGTTGATTTGGCCAGTGGCGAGGCAGATAAGGTTAGGCGGTACATTCAAACTGAAGAGGGAGATGAAGAAGGGTGGAGTCATGGCAGAAGCTGTGAGCTGCTGCCAGGAGAAGCAAGATGTGAGAGACCAGGTAAGGCCATGAAGCCATGTGGCAAAATATAGATTAATAGAAATGGGTTGAAATAAGTTATAAGATCTAGTTAATAATGAGCCTGAGCCATAGGCTAAACAGTTTGTAATTAATATAAGTCTCTGTGTAATTATTTTATCAGCAGCTGTGGGACTGTGGGTGGGAGAGATTTGTCTGGACTGCCGGGCAAGATAGGACTGAGAAACTTTTGTCTACAGTTTTCCCTGTGTTATGGAGATCATGTAGTTTTGGATCTGTGGGTCAGGTCCCTTCATATGCTCCAGCAGATCTTAGATAGGGTAGATGTTAGAGCAGGCCAAGTCATAACCCTGATTCTGGGAGTGGGCAGCTGCAGAGCCTTAGCGAGGGTCCAGCATTGATAGTGTAGTAGAAACCAGAGGCCTCAAACCAGAGCAACGACTTTTCACAATGAACACTTGCAAGTAAGGATACATGGACAAAGGGGTTTACTTCGTGACTCACTGTGTCACACTGCAGCTTCCATGATGAGATTTCTAATTTTTCCCCTTTTTTCTCTCTTAAATTTTGTTTTATTGGGTGGGGGGAGTGCAGGGGTAGAGGGTGGATTAGAAGGGACAGGGAAATGAATGGGATCAAGATACATGATGTAAAAAAGACACATAGAATAAATACAAAGAAAGCTTAAAAATGTACAAATGTGTCTCCTAATGAAAGGAAACGCCATCTTACTATCAGCAACGCCAGAAACAGGACTTGAGATTCCGAGGCTCCTAAGTAATCCACAGAGTCATAAGAAACCTGCAAAATGAGAAGACAAGTTCGAGTGAACATTCCTCTGGTCATGATTCATCCTGTTTGCAGTGAACCCATGTAACCTGGGTACTGGGCAGAGTCTGTTCCTGACCTGGGTATGCTGCCCTTGTTCTCTAGTGTTTCCGTGAACCTGAGCTTGTGCACAGGCCTAGGAGGAGGATACTGTTCTGTGCAACACGGGGAATGAGCAAGATTGTGGGCAGTGCTGGCAGACACTGCCCCTGAAGATGACGCTGGCAAGTCTTTCTGAAGCAGACCATCTCCCCAAGCTGAGTTCACCTGCTTTTCTGTTCTTACTCATACTCCTTCTCGCTATTCCTCCTTTGAGGACCCTGGATTCATCTTGTTCTTATCTCCTGACACTCATTTTAGAAAATAATCATGACTGACCTCCAAACCAGGCAAATTTTTCATATGGAGTTTCACGTGCTCCACATTTAAATACCCTGTTCCATTAGATCTCAATAAAGGAGATCTCATTGTATCATGGATAAAAGGTAATGGCTAATTTCACTTCTTGGGCTGTATTCATCAAGAGATCTTTCTGGATAGCTTTAACTCTCAATTTTGCCTACTCCACTTGAAAAGCGAGTTCTGCTCTCACAGCTCTGCCAATTCTACTGATTCAATCCCAGAAATAATTTTTCATATAATTTTTTTATATATTTTCTTCTGGCATCAAAGTGTTAATTCTGCCTTGAACATGTCACACACAGTTAATGACCGCAATTCCTTCAAAAGAGAGACATCTCATTCTCCAAAAGAGAGACAGCCTATTCTCTATCTCCACACACTCGGTTTTCTTACATGGATGATGGATTCTGTGTAATGGACAGCAACCTCTCCACTTGCACAATGCATGCTGATGGTTTTCATTCACCTTTTCAGAGTTTACTCCCTGGACAATGCTCTTCTCTCTTACTATGAGGAATTTCATATTTCACATTAGGGCAGTATGACACTCCTTAGCAAAACTGAATTGAAAACATCAACCACCTTCCTGATTTTCCACTCCGACTGTCTTGACGTAAAATGCGTAGACATGCTTGCCATACCAGCGCTTGCTCGCCTCCCACCCTCTACTAGGCTCACTGAGTAAAGCTGATGCTTTCACTGAAACTGACACTGCTAATATCACCAGTGACCTTTCTGTCCTTAGACAGAATGGTCTTTTTCCACCTGGCATCCTTCTGGACTGTTCAGTAGCAGTTGGTGGCTTACTAGATCTTTATTTATAGAAACACTCTTATTTCATCCCTGGAAACTGACCTTTCACTGCTGAGGCAGAGCTTGGGCGAGGGGATGTGACAGTCTGAAGTCAGTCATTTCTCTGGCTCCTGTTCACACTGATTTACTGACTCTTCTCTCCAAACTTCTCAATTTGGGAGTTCAAAGTCAAGTCCTGACTCTTTTTATTCCAACTTCTATTTGCTGTGTAAGTTACATTACTCAGTTATACTGATTTTACCAACACTCATAAACTGATGAATCTCAGATATCTGCTGTCTTAATCTCTTCAGAGGCTACACTCCAGGTCAATATCTACAACGGGCTGTTGTGTGATTCTTTTCAGGTAACACATCCTAACCTGAACAGAAGAGGGACTTTTCTTCTGACTTATAGTAGGGTTCCAAGGAGAGAAGGCTGTGAAATGCTACTAGTCTGGAGTTTCCATTGGCCTTCATGAACCAGGGTAGGGCTTTTTAGCAATAAAGAACGTGGCTGTGCTCTTTGCATGTTGTAGAGAAATCACTTTCTGAAAATCACAGCTTCAAACATTGCACAGCCAGGGGCTGACTTTGCCTGAATTGATAATATTCAAGGCTTTCTTTGGTAGTGTTACACTTGATGATGGTAGGAGAAGAGTGAAACTACTTACCTCAGAAAAAATTAATAGAGAGCCAATCAGCGTGAAGGGCGGTACTAAAAAGGTGCAGAATAGGAGCGCTAGAAACCCATACTCATTTATGTCAGTAGCTACGATGCAGAAGATGGTGACCTGAAATGAAAGCACAGTATGGCGTCACTAAAGCACAGTGACATGAATGACAGCTTCTTTTCAGAGAGAATAGGAGTTCACCTCATCAATGCTCCTACTACAGATTTGTATCTCATGCGATACAGCATTGCCATCATACTTTTTCCTTTGTGTCCCAACCATGTCACAATTTTATTGGAAGGCAACGCTTTTCAAACACAATGTGTGTAAAAAATCAGATTTTGATGATGGCATTCTTTCGTCATTCATTTCTACACATCTTTTTTTTTTTCACTTCAACATAAGTCTTGGATATATTTCTAAGTCTAAGGATACTATCAATTTTTACAGCTGGATATTTCCTTGATTGAATGTGTAAGAGTTGATAATTTTGTCGTCAATTTTTGTTGTTTGATTTTTCTGGTCATATTAATTGTGGTATACCTTAATATTTTCTATATTGACACTTTCAGTGTTGGAGATTAAAATCTTTCTATTGGATTTTTCATTTCTATAATTATTTTATGTGTCCAGGATTATGTTTTTGCCTACACACATGCCTGCACACTATGTGAATGCCTGGTACCTGAGGAGGCCAAAAAGAGGATGTTGGATTCCCTGGGACTGAAGTTATAGACAGTTGTGAGCAAACATGTAAGTGTTGGGAATTAAACTCTGGTCCTCTAGAAGAGAAGCCAATGCTCTTAACCACTCAGCCATCTGTCCAACTCCCCCAAATTAAAATCTTCTTTGTGCATTTAAAAATCAACAGTTGTCAAAAATATTTCCAAAAATATTTGTGATATTCTGTTCCTCCAAAAGCCGTGATGGGAGTGTATGTTATGCTGTGCCTCGCTCACTCAAGGTGTTATAGCTAACTATTGTAGGCATCACTGTCCAAGAGCTAACACTGAATGAGTAATTTATAATTTTAACATTTATTATGGCATTTGCCATTGGCTTCTCCAATCTGTACTCTTGAATTTATGTTTATTTTTGACTGGGCATGTTTCAGAAACCATATGATGTTTCTTTAACCTGTGTGATTCCCTCCTTTACTTTGACAGTTGCTAATAATCAACATTGCATTCTGGAATCAATCATTATTGGTTATTGTTCATTATTATTCTTTTTGCAGTATTTAAATATTTTTATTCTGGGAAGAAGGTAACCATGCATTTATACAAAGAATACTGATCATATCCATCCAACACTACCTCCTCCCTTGAGCTCCTTCTAGTACATACTCAAGGTCTTCCCAGCTTCATGTCCTCTTTTACTTTTTGTTGTTATTACTCTCTTAAATTTCTTCTAAGCCAGGTGAGGTGGTGTACACCTTTGATCCCAGCACCCAGGAAGCAGATACAGATCTCAGGTTTTGTTGAAGTTTCAATAACACGTATTTACCATTGTAGTATTATGCAAAGTAATTCATTGTCCTAAAAGTTCCCCATGCTCACCTACCCATCTTTCCACCTCCATAACTCTTGGCAACCACTAATCTTATTATTTTCATAGTTTTTCTGGAATATCATGTAATTAGAATCATATGTAGCCCTTTCATGTTGTCTTTAAGTTTATTTCTTGTCTTTCCAGAGATTGAGAGTTCATTTCTTCTTAGAAGTAAATAATATTCTATCACATGGCAATTCTCCCATTTATTTAACCATTTACCATCTTGGTAAGTCTTGGTTAGCTCTATATTTGGGCAATTATTGATAAAGCTGCTATAGACATTCGTGAAGCTTTTGTGTGTGCTGAATGCTTTTATTCAGTTTTTGTTTTGAAGGAACTGTATAAGAAATTAATTCTTTGAGTTCATGTTGCTGTAAACAACTCATTTGCATGACATACTAAAGGTGAATATATAAATAATTATTCCTAAGAATTCCATTGTTAGGTTTGTATCCCCGAATACATATAGGCATGTACACATAAATGTGCCAAAGTATACACAATACTGACTTCCTGTCAGTATTATCAATAACAGCTCCAAACAGGAAGCCATTTGATAGGTATCAACAATGGATAAATCAATTGATGGATATATCTATCAATGGTATAGTATAGCAATGGAAATAAATGAATGGCCATGGGGGTAGAAATCTCTACTCCTGGATCCCTCAAGCTCTGTATACATACACCCACACATACAGTACAATTTACATAGATCTATGATCATCTTAAAGCAATTAAAATTTTCTAAAAAGAATTATTAATTTGTTGCTCTGCTTAGTACAGTGATTAAAATATATGCTCCTTGAGGCTGGGGAGGCTCAGGGTTTAAGAGCTCTTGCTGCTCTTCAAGAGAACCCAGGTTCATTTCTCAGTGCATACATGGTGTCTCACAACCAGCCTTAACTCCAGTTCCAAGGGATCTGATGTCCTCTTCTGAATTCCAAAGGCACCAGGCACACATGTGGTATACATACATACAAGCAGGCAAAACACTCATACACATAATAGAAAATAAATAAGTCTAAAACAAATTTTAAGTAAAATAAAATATATGCTCCTAGATTTATTCAAGAAAGAGTTATAAATAAAACAAGAAGCATCACATGCATACTTACAATTAAGAAGAAAAATGACCAAATGCCACTATTTTTTCTGCCATTACGAAAAATGAATGAAATTCCGTATGTCAAGAAAACAAGAGATGATGCATATCCAATACTACACAGGATCTGAAAACAGAAGCATTCAGGTTACATGGGTGACTACTACTTAGGAAAGCATTCATACTTAACCCTCAACTCTCCAAAATCATCAGAAGCATAGGCAATTTGAAGTTCTTTGGTTTAATAATAATAATAATAATGGTGGGGAAGGCTAGGCAGGAGAGAAGGGAATGAAAAAGCCCCCTGCTGCCATCTCCTTTCCAGGCATCATTTGAGACATGAATCCCAACATGTCTGCTTCCTCCCAAATGAATGGCCTGACTGATGGTTGCTAATACCTGGCAGATAAGGAATTTTAAAAATGTCAAAGTAGACAAATTTTAAGTGCTACACTGAAATATTTCTAAACTGCTTGTAACAAATTTTCAAGTACTAGTCTTCCATGACTTGATAAAATAAACCAGTGTGGAGAACCTTCTATTTGTAGTAGATGGAAATTAGCACAGTGACCCACAACTGGCCAAAGGCCAGAGTATAAGAGACTGCAGAATGCTGAGTCCTAAATGGAACATAAACACCGCACACCTCTCCCCACCACCCTGCAAGGCTCAGACATCACCGCAGAAGAGGGGGCGGCATGGGTGTAAGAGCCAGAGGTGATAGACGACAAAAGGAAACATCTGGACACAGCAGGGCAGCTGCCCCTATGAACTCACGGCAGTTGTGGTAGCACGCATAAGATTGTGTGGGCCCAAGTTAGGCACACAACTCCACTCCGAGCCATGGAGCTACTGGCAATTATTAGGGGTGGAGAGGCGGTGTTTTCTAAGAGTCTAGCCCCTGGTAAGTTGCATAATCTCCAGAGGAAGACCACACTTGTGAAACTATTTGGGCAGCATGAGCTGGTCTTGAAAGATTTTTAAGGACGTGAGGTATGAAGCCAGAGTAGAAGCCATGGTGGCTTCACTTCAACACAGGAGCCATATTGTTGTTAAGTTCCCATACCCTACGAGAATAGTTTTCTACAGAGGAGGACTGTACTGGCGGGTGGAGACAGAACGGGGTGGGGGAGGGACTGGCAGGAGAGGAGGGAGGGGAAACTGTGACCGGGATATAAAATAAATAAATTAATTTAAATAAATAAATAACGGGGATGGGGGTGGGAGAGACGAACTTTCTGTTTTCTAAACCTGCTGTACCTTGCAAAACATGTCTTTGAACCTGCACTGAGCTTGTGACCCCGTGATGCATCACTGTCCCTTGCCTTGTAAAATATGTTTTCAGGATACCTTGATCTATACCCGCGGCCGCCAACCCCAAGATATATGACTCTCCACCTTCATGATGTATGTTCTTGCCTTTTGACAACAGCCCCCGAGAATGCGCTTGCAGCTCTTTTCTATTAACCTTGTGGCTCTTCCTCATAAAAGGCACCTCAAAAAGCTAGCGCATGGCTGCTCTCTAAAGTTCTGACTGAGGGTGAGACAGCTGGCTGGCCAGACCTGGGTGCACCTTTAAAATAAAGTTTGCTTTATTTGGTCGGTTGTGGAAGTGGCTTTTCTCCTCACGGATTAGAGATTAACAAAGGCTGAATGGGTGAATTAAGAGTTGGGGGACAGGGGATGCATAGGATCAAAACATGTATGAAGCTCTCGAAGAACCAGCTTAAAATAAGATCAAAGCAATACAACGTTGCTGGCCGTTCAGTAGGCAATAACAGTCCTCAAGGTTCGTGACAGGGCCTTCAAAATGGCCCAACAACAGCAACACTGAAGGGTAAAGTGACAATATAAGATGGTGTCTGTTACTCGTTCTTTGTCCAAAGCTAATACAACCAAAAGGTAAGCTAATAACATGAGCAGTTCGTTACTATCTATTCTTATCCTTGACATATCTTGGGGCCTAAGCCCCCCAGAGCAACTGACAGCTCACTACAGGGCTAAGTCAAACAATGCTAATAATATTAATGTGAGATAGTTCCCACTCTGTTGATCCAAAAGTGTGGAGAGCTGCTTTCGAGCTGATTTTGTGCCCAAACCGCTATTACCTTGGAAAAGGACCGTTTTTTCACCCTGTCAGTGAAAATGGCCACCTTTCTTTCTCTTTTCACAGCGTTCTCACCTTCCTCCACGGTCTATCTTTTTCCTGGGGCTCTATGAAAGTGTAACTATTCCTCTTATTGTTCCCGACCCCTTCTCTTGGCAGTTGCTAACATTTCCAGCTTGCATGTCCTGGAATTTTTCTCTTTTGAACCTCAACAAATTATTCTCAAGTTCCTTTCCGAGTAAGTTTTTTAAATTCTTACATCAATGGGACCCAGATAGAACCTGCAAGAGACTTGTGATCGTAGTGACAACATTCGTGGAAAAGATGGTCTAATAAAACTTTATTCCAAAATGTACGGGATTCTAAATCTTTGCACTTACCTGGATTAACAGGTTTTCAATTATAAATATAATCTCCTCCTGGCTAAAAACACAGTCCATTATTTGCATGAGAAGGAGAATCAAAAAGTACAGGGGAATGTCCACCAGAGCCTGTCCACACCAGTAAGCAGAAGGGTATAAGCCTGAGGTCCACAGCTGGGAAAGAATTTTTTTCTGATACAACAAACAAACAAACAAACAAAAAACCAGAAAGATCATCATAAAATTCTGAAAAGCCGAAACTAGGGAAACTGTGAATACATAGTTACAGCAACTATTTTTACTATATCTCTTTACAGTTATTACTTTTGTTTGGCAAATGACATTGCTACTTGCCATAACCATACCCGAGAGGAACTGATACTATTTCAAAACGAGATGGATAGATTGACCCAATTCTCCATAAAGTTATTCATCTAGGGCTTGAGCATTGTTGAATACTGTCAAGAATATTGATGTTAATAATAGATCTTTATTGAAAGCTTTTTACATCTAATTTCCTTTTGATAAAACTGTTGGGCATGGCTCTTTGATTGGTAGCTATCACATTCTGTGCTTGGCTGCTTTGGGCAGAGACAGATATTTTAATTCCAGGGAATCTGACATGCTTAATGACCTCTGTTGGGCACTACATACATGAGTTATATAATGTACATGCAGAAAACACTCTTACACTTAAAATAAGTCTTAAGAAACAGAAGAATGAAAACTGACCCATTATTCATGGAAATAAGAAATGATAGAATAGGCAGAATTTACAGGAAAAAATATTCCTATTTTAGTGGTGTTCATTACTAGGGAGAAGAAACAGTTAACAAATGAGAGAAGTCCTATGATCATAAGTGCCATTTATATATTTCTTAAATGAGTTCACATGGCAGTGATGGGTATCTATTCAGACTTATTAAACAGGGGAGGGGATTGGTCTGAAATTATTTTTGTGTTGACATATGAATAACAGGAAGTCTTCTGTATAAATAAAGAACAGGGTGAAGGAGAGGACAATGGGTCTCAAAGAATAATCAAGTGATATTTGACATTGGTAAGTGTGAAAGCCATATTAAAAAAATGGGATAGATAAAGGGCAATTTGCAGTAAAGAACGAGGAGAAATGGACAGAAGATGAATAGTGCAGGGCTCTGACAGACAATGTAAAAAATTAAGACAATTCTAGCTGCATGGAGAAGTTAACTAGATACTGTTATTTGAACTTCTGAATGTTCATTCTGGTTGAGTGGAAGGAATTCATTGCAAGTAAGAATACCGTGGTCCAAGCAGGAATAGTGGTGATACAGACTAGGATGTAAACAGCGACAGTAAGAAATTGATGGATTTGATCATTGGGAACAGAACGTAAAGGAATTACTGATGAAGTGTACAAGGAATAAGGAAAGAAATAAAGGTAAATCCAGAGTTTTACACCAGAGCAAATGTAGATTATTAATAAGACTTACTGAGGTGAAAAGGGTTAGAGATGACAGATCTACCCAGGAAAACTTTTCCTTTTTGTTCAAATTTGAAATATCTATTTCTCATCTCCATGGAAATATCAGCTGGTTTGTGACATATGTAGACAGTGATAATTTTGAGAGTAGTGAAAGGGGACCCTCACACTAAACTCTATTGTAGAGGGCAAAAAGGCCTTGTGCACACAGATAAGCACTGGAAAAGCCAGGAAAGTTAAACACACAGCTTATCTCTTGTTGAAGAGATTAATGAGATGCACAGCTGCTCTTCCTGGACTGCCAGGAATGACGTAGCTTTACAACCTGGTGATCTTTGCTTTTTGATGAGACAGCCTCTGCCTTATCTCCAAGAAATTTATGTTTTTTCTTATCCAAGACCTTTTCCCCTAAACCGTGAGCATTGCTTTTAGACCATAAAACCCACTCTTAAAAATGATGTCATTTGTGCTGTACAACACAGCCTAAGTGACATCTATGTTATCTTAGGGCCAGATCAATCCAGACTCCCACAGGCATTATGTTCAGTCATTCTTCTTAGACCCTAAATCTTTGGCGCTATCTCTGAGTCAACAGTACCCATTCTTCTGAAAGAAGCCAGATGTATTTTGTAAGGAATCTCAATGCAAATATGTCTTAAATTGTGCACTTGGGACTGGGTTAATTGTTATCTGAATACTTTTTTTCAAAAATTGTGCTGTGCCTAAGTATGGCTAAAGTAAAATGATCTGGGTCAGACTCTGGAAGTCCTGATCCAGAGTCGGTTACAATAAAATCAGGCTGAGGAGAGTTTCATTCTTGTCTCTTGGTGGATCATTTTTCCCTGACTGCTGTAAAACCTGTAGGGGAATCACCACACTTTATATATTTAGACATCAAATACACTAAGTATTACTTCACCGACTCCTCATGGGAACCCACTGTAACCCAGGTGTAACCATCATGCAGTTCATCGGTGACAAACTAAGGCAAGTGTGTGAATAAACAGCTTTTAAAATTTATTCAGCCTGAAAACCAAGGAGTTAAGAGCAGAAGAAACTAAAATTAACTCCAGCCCATAAAGACATCTCCTGGGCACTCACATGGTTCCATGTGACAAAACCAGCACCTGGTGCTGATGTCAACACCATGAAGAGGGGAAAGGGGTTCATTATGGGCACTGGGAGTACCGGGGAGGCACAAAGACTGACAAAGACTTCTGGAATTTTATGTGAAAACATCACAAATTTAAGTTAAAGGGGAATTTTTTTCAACAATAGTCAAAATACTGTAGAAATTGGATCTGGACTATTTAACTGAGTAATTTCATTACCAAGTGAGAGTGTGGTTATGTCTGTCTGTAGATGTCTATTAATGAGACTAAGTGATACATACTTAAAAGTTGTCTTTAATACAAGCTGGTGGTATTTCCCTGTTTAAGGAAAATGTATTTTACTCATATTTTGACAACCTATTATTGAAATGATTGGTTATACATTGCAATAAATACATACATTAGATTCACTACCTGCATGCAAATCTATGTGCACAACATTCAAAGGAAATTTTCCAGGGCAAAAAAAAAAATCTGAAGACTTTAATGCTTCTTACTTTGTGGTCACTGATGCTGCTCATTGCGATGTAAGGAGTGAGACTGGCAGCCAACGGTATCCAGAAGAATGCGTTGCTCATGTATCCATGCTCATAAAACATATGCTCCTAAAATTGTGCAGACACGGTGAGCAGATAGAAACCAGGTCTCTGATTCATTTATACTGTCTTCACCATATCAACCAAATAAATGAACTGAGATACACCTCAAAGCCCTTCCCAAATCCTCATGAAGCTCCAGTCTCTGACTCTGAGATTACAGCATTCCACACATCAATAGCATGCATATCTATATCTACATTGAACTATATCTCTTTCTGCACACACACATACACACACACACACACACACACACACACACACACACACACACACACACCACTTATTTAATAATACATATTCTTGGACCACCAATGGAGAAGATATTTTTTCTAATCTTAGAAACTTGTGCCAAAGCAGCTCAGTTCAACATTTATAAAGAGTTATTCCTCTGCTTCCTGATAATGCAAAAGTATCAAATTTAAATGTTTTCAGACAGAAAGTAGTAAGTACATAAACGTTAGAAAATAATTCATCTGAAAGCTCCTCCCTGAGGACAAACTTTCATGGTACCAGAAGGTTCCATGTGAATTTCCAAAGGAGCCCAGTGTGGCAGAGGTCAATAACCCTACCATCTATGATGCCTATGAACTAAAATAATGGCCAACATGACTCTTATCTTCTTGGTAACCAACAGTTGTCTAATTGGACTTAAAGCCCTGCTCAGCAAAAGGGAAATCATTCCTGGTACAGGAAACCTAGCCAACTACCCAGGGCTAGTAAAGTCATGGATCTTGAAGGAGAACCTGCAATCATTACTAATAATAATAGTAGTGTAATTTATGACCACATTCTAAATTTACCTATGTATAAATTCAAAGTCACCTGAGCTAGTAGCTAGCAATTTTTTGTTGTTAAGACATCTTATTTCTATCATTAACCAAGTTTCATGATATAGCCTAGACTGACATTAAACCAGTGAGCTCCCTGCACCTTCTGAGTGCCAAGATCAAACACTTGTGGCACCATGCTCAACAAGATACTTAAAAATAGATGGATAGATAGATAGATAGATAGATAGATAGATAGATAGATAGATAGATAGATAGATAACAAAAAACCCACAACCATCTCAGAAGGAAAAGGAATGCAGGCATTTAGGGCTGAGCCACACTTCCTTTTCTAATCCAACATATCAGACTTTTGTAAAGGAAATGAAGGAGCAACACACAGTCTCCATCTCTTACCCATGTCTCACACCACAACTTAGCAGTGCAGCATGATTTTTTTCTTTTATTGAAAACAGATTCTTTTCTCATACAACATATCCTGATTATAGTTTCTTTTCCCTCCACTTCTCCCAGTTCCTCCCTACAATCCCTCCCCTCTGGATCCATTCCCTTTCTGTTTCCCATTAGGAAAGAACAAGTTTCTAAGAGGTAACAATCAGGCATGGAAAAATAGACTATAATGAGATGAAGCAAAAACTATCATATCAAAGTTGCACAAGGCAAACCAACAGGGGGAAGAGAGTCCCAAGAGCAGGCACATTCTTAATAACAAAAGGTGATTTTAAAAACAATGGAATATGCTCATAGTATCACTTTCTAAGACAAAAGAAATTCAACACAGCAAGGTAAAATGATGACTCAACACTACAATCCTTTCCCCAACCTAGATACTGTTAGAGGATATAAGCACATATGGACAAAATATTTTACATAAGAAAAAGAAAAGTGGTATTGATATCATTAAGGAGCTACTTTTATATGTGATAAGGATATTATAGCTGTTCATAAATGATTCTTTTAAAAAATTAGTGTGTGTGTGTGTGTGTGTGTGTGTGTGTGTGTGTGTGTGTGGGTGTGCAGGGAACAACTTTCAAGAGTCAGTTCTCTTTTTCTGCCATGTAGGTCCCGGGGGTTGAACTCAGGACATCAGGCTTGGCAGCAAGCACCTTCTACCAACTGTGCCATCTCATCAACCACAACAATTCTTTCCTTTAACAGATATATACAGTAAAATATTTATAAATACAATAATATGATCTTAAATTTAATTCAAATACTCCTAAGGCTATGCTTTTTATAATAACTGAAGTTGGCCTGTCAGTGTGGGAGGTTATTAAATTCTCTGTTAATGTGTTTGAAATTTTTATATAATAGTTGCCTTTAAAATAATCAAGAACTATTCCCATGTTCCCACTTATAATCACGCTAATCTGGTCAAGGGTGGAAGTTCTATATTGAAAGATCCTCTTAATGTATCTCCAAGTGAAATAGTATTAACAGCAATAATGACCAGAACTGTAATTCACTGAGCAAATTACCTACATTCGCATGCCTCATTGTTTGGCTTTGTACTACCTTAACCAAGTTAGTCGGGTGCACATCTTACCACATTTACCTCAGCAGAAACTTTTGTGGTGAATTTTTTTTTGTACATTCTGTTAATTAGTGTATTAAAGACTACAAAAATCAGTTGTTTTTTTAAGGAAGAACACATAGTCAAATATTGAAAAGCTGCTACAACTATGCCCCATTATCAAGGGCTGCAAAAAAAAAAAAGGAAAACCAAAGTTTTTCCAATTGATAATACTTCTTGCTGTCTCAATGCCCCCAAACCATACTGTTCATACTGTTTTATATTCACAGCTAAATCATGAAGGAATATGTGTTATTTGTATATAAAATATGAGATCATCAGGTTCATCAAAACTGAGATGATGTTATTTCTTGCATTACAAGGACTTTCTTAAAACCATCCAAGGTCTTCATATACTTACTTCAAAAAATGTGCTTCTGTCAGTCTGAATTCGTCCTGAAGAATTAAAGATTCCAAGCAGCCCATTGCTAATAATATCCATGAGAACTGGAAAGCAGTTTAGTCTTTTGGTGTTACATGCTATTGAAAACCTGAGATCCTAAAATATAATGAATATTTCTTAATTCTCAGACCTAATTACATGACTTAATTACAGAATGATATAGTAACAAAATAATTAAATGGCATATTATGTTTGAAAATCATTGAAATCACTGATAATATAGTAAGACAAGGGCAGAAAAGCAACATTCCCACTATGTTATTTAATTCCCAATATACTTAAAGAATTTATCACTTTGATATGAATTTCTACACCACTACCCCCAAACATCAGCCACATAACCAGCTGTGCCCAGAATCTCACAAAATTAAATAAAGTGATTTTCAGTAGCAATAGTAGCATGAATGTTATGGGATTACCAACCACTCTGGTTGGATTTAAGGCCCACTCCATGAGATGGAGCTCTGACCTGATACTATTATCAGGAACAAGAACCTGTGACTAAATAAATATCAGGCCCTAGAAAGGAATCTATTACTATTATTCTGCCAAATCAGAGGTTTTCAACCTGTATGTCATGACCCCTTTGGGGGTTGCATATCAGATATTTACACTATAATTCATAGCAGTAGCAAAATTACAGTTATGAAATAGTAACAACATAATTTTATGGTTGGGGGTCACCACAAGAAGAGGAACTATATTAAAAGGTCACATCATTAGGAAGGTTGAGAACCACTGTACTAAATAAACATAGTATTAAACAGACTCCTAATGATTTATTGCTATACCCATAAATTAGTGCATCTCTCAACCCCTTATTAGGGAAGCTTCTTGCAGTGGGTGGAAATTAACAGAGGTCCTCAAGTGGTCAATGTGCAGAGAACAAGAGACTGTGGAGTTCTCAGTCCTACATGAGACATCTTTATTCTTTATTAGATATGTTCTCCCAAGGGCTGAGGAATCTTCAAGGAAGAAAGACTTTAAGAGCGAGAAGTGAAGGATTACTACAAGGAAAAGGTGTTTTCTGAACACAGCAGGTTGATTGCATATGGACTCAGAGTTGTTGTGACAACATGCACAAGATCTGTACAAATTCAAGCCAGAAGAAATCTCAGCATGGTGTGGGAGAAGTAGGCACAAAGTTCCACTCCTAGTTGAAGAGCTATTGGCATTTGATAGCTTCTGGGATAGGGAAAATCAGTTTTCTTTAAGGGTGTGATGTCTAGTAAGTCAATCACACTCTAAGGCAGGAAATTATACACAAGAGTAGTTGGGCAATTCAAACTGAACTTGGTGGATGGATGGATAGATAGATAGATAGATAGATAGATAGATAGATAGATAGATAGATGGATGGATGGATGGATAGATAGATGATAGATAGATAGATAGATAGATAGATAGATAGATAGATAGATAGATGAAATTCTCAAAGAATTAATTAAAACATTTTTAAAACTCCTTCAAGATCTAGGCAAGTGATATAAATGAATGAGCAGTATGGAAATGCAGCAGACTGCAGATTCAAGGCTAAATCTAACTGAGCAGTTATTCTCAGCTCCACTAAGAATACAATTTAAAATAATTAATGGGGCAGAATTTAATTGATATAATTTTTAAATTATTGTTAAAGTCCTTGGTAGTTATATGGGAGATAGTAAGCAAATAATTACAGCTCAGCTTCTCCTATGAAAATGGGAAATAATTTGTTTGTATCAAGTCAGTTAATTTGAGTTCTTCAAATTGTACCTCCACAATCTGTCTTTGGTGAAATACAGTCATCAGAGTCTAACATACCTTTCCGTCACCCAACACAGTGATAGCACCATTGTATAGTGCCTCTTCTGTGCCATTTCTGGTTCCCAGGACATCTATGTCTAATGCTATGTTCTGCTGTCTTAGTGAATGTACAAAGTTATCAATTCTTGAACCTACCATGAAGGCAAAATTCAAAAGAAGCAAAGATAAGTCAATTAGTATAAAAAGCAACAAAAAATTAAATGACATAACTCAAAGCATGTTATTACTACTTATAGATACCCTTAGAAGGCAGAATTAGAGTTCAGTACAAAAATCCATTATGTTGACATGTATATAATAAAGATCCTCTACATATAGCCTAAAATTTATTAATATTTCTAATATTGTATAATTTCTAGGAGTGTCACTCCATTTTTCTTTAAAGAGGATTGATTATAAATACAATCTCTTAAAAAAAATAAATGAATAGAAAAAAAATACAATCTCTTTTTAAAGAAGAAAAAGGGATAGTATGATAGGATGAAAGGGTAGATTATTGAACCTACTTTTAAAGAGCAACAACTTGTTTGAAATATTTTACAATGCTATGGATTTTAGTTTATTGATATAAATTTAAAATTAATTTTGTTATACTGTATGTATACTTATACTCTTCTTTAAATTATTTTGTTTCTACAACTCATTTGAAATTGTAGTGTATAGTTGAGAAATACAGATTAATAATTAGTCATCTATGATAATCAAACTTATAGTCATGTTAGTTAAGTTTTCTAGGTATACATAGATATATTTCAATTAGGTAGGCAATCTTCAAACACTTCAAAGACCTACAGAATATGGCATTTAAAATGTTTTAAAAACTTGGACTTTCCTGGACAATGAGACACAGCTGTTCCTTGCAGCACCAACTTACTTCAAAGAGAAAGATGGGCATCAAAGACACGCTATATGTAGTTTATCTTCTTCTTGGTACAAAATGGCCATTTGGGCAAGAAATTGCTCTTGCCTGGACTGCTTGACAGGATGTTATATAAACTAGACATGCAGCACTCATAGGAAGGTGACCGCTAAATTTGCCTAAACAAGGCGAAATGGTCCTTCAGGTTTCTGCTTCACAGAGAAAACTGCCAGACATTCTACAGGACACAGGAAAAAGTGTCTGATAGACTAGGCCTATGGGCTGAAGATGGATGCTCCAACGTTGCAGAGGAACTTTGGATGACTGTCCATGCGGGCAGCTGTCTCTGTCATTTCCAGAATTTTAGAAGTTGCTTACAATGCATTTCCTGTTTACTTAGGTAATATTATATCCTTCTGGGGTCTTTGATGTAGTTAAAGACTAAATAGTTATAATTTTCCTTGGTTATCATAAAAGATAAAATAGATATGAAACTTTAGACTCACAAATATAGGATAGATAGATTATTTTCTTTAATTTTGCCAAATACAAATAGACTAAATATTATAACTCTAATTCTTGCTTGATAACTGTTCTATTATATGTAATTTTACTATGTTAAAGTTAAAACCTTCCTTTTTGATTAGACAGAAAAGGGGAAGTGCTGTGGAATGTCATTCTGTATGCTGTGAATGTGTGTTGCTCTGATTGGTTGATAAAATCCTGATTGGCTAGTAGCCAGGCAGGAAGTATAGGCAGGATAAGCAGATGAGGAGAATTCTGGGAAGAGGAGAGCTAAGTCAGGAGTCGCCAGACAGACACGGAGGAAGCAAGATGACAAGGCAGAACTGAGAAAAGGTACCAAGCTATGTGGCTAAACATAGATAAGAATTATAGGCTAATTTAAGTGTAAGAGTGAGTCAGTATTAAGCCTGAGCTAATGGCCTAGCAGTTATAATTAATATAAACCTCTGAGTGATTATTTTATAAGCTGCTGCAGGACTGTGGGTGAGAGAGAGTTATCAGGACTGGGCAGGACACTGGAAAACTCCCAGCTACATTTCCTAAAATGCATGAGACCCCGGGTTCAGTGCCCAACACCATAAATTAACAATACAAACAAAACCACAATTAGCCAAACCAGCAGTGTGATCTTTGATGCTATAAGTTTTGATCTTCTTATAAATATGGAGCATTTTGTTCACAGAGCCCAGCAATACAGGGAATTACAAAATGATACAGTAAGATCTCAAAGACCAGTTAATGATTTGCCTTTCTAAAGTCCCTTTGGTTGTTTTGGTAAAAGCCTTAGAGTTCAAGTAAACTTAAAAAAAAAGTATTTCTAAAACAAACTAAATTGTGGTTTTTATTTTTTAATTAATTTTCTGTTTGGCCTTATAAATATTTTTTACTACACAGAAAACATTCTTTTCTTCATGTTTTATGTTTTTTAGGCCATCTCCCACCAAAAAAAAAAAATGTGTTTGGATGTTACAGCTTACCTGTTCTATTGATGACCAGTAGGTGGGTCAGAGGAGCCTGTGGAGGCTGTCCTGGAGAAAGGAAATACATACTTGGAGACAATCCCCATGAGTAACTTTCATGGTATAGCTCATAGAACAGATGTTCCAAAAGTTGAGGAAGAAAGCTAATACCAAACAGCAATAACCTATGTGGAAGAAGAGAAATATTAAATAGCAAGAGTTAATAATCTATAGCCACTTTCATGGGGCTCTATGTTTCAGTAGATGATGGACAGTGATAAAACATGGGCAAAAGGAATGTTCAAATCATGTTGCTTCCTCCTTCTTCTTTCTAAAATGAAACGACACAGCTTTGGTCTTAACTACCCACTTCTGCTTTTGACATTTTCTTTGAGCCTTCCAACTCTGCTGATGCTGACTCTGATTTGTGTTAGATGGGGTCTTGTGTAGGCCAGGAGGGCCTTGAATTTGTGAGGACCTAGAACTTCTGATCCCTCTGCTCTTACTTCCTGAGTGTTGGGATTACAGGCATACTAAAATCTCATGTGAGACCCAATACTCTGAAATTACTGGAAGAAAAAGGAATGGGGACAAATATCTGGCACTGTCAACTTGTCTAACAACTCAGGTCTGGGGAGATAGAAAGCCCACATGGAAAGCATATTCCTAGTGGTTAACTAAACTGACATAGCAGACAAGTGCCTTCTAAATAACTTTTTATATCTGCAGACAAAAGCAGCTCTTACTTAGCCTAATCAGAGAAGCCCTTCCTTACAATGAACAATGGTGAATGCAGAGACTCATGGCTGCCTAGGATGCAGAAAATAAGCAGAGGATGTGTGCCCAGCCCCAAACAAGTCACTGAGAGCATCCCCTCTAACACTCAGGAAGCATTGCACAGGGGGTGGGAAGTACATAAGAGCCAGAGGATAGGGTGAAGGAGTATGACACTTAGGTTACTGAGGTATGTCCTTAAATAAAACTGTTGGAATTCAGATGCTTGGGGCACCCTGGTCTTGGATAGGAACCTACTTGGCTGTGAAGCAGAACAGCTTACCTCTTTATAAGTGCATCATCTTGGGTATTCCATTACAGTAATAGAAAGATAATACAAGACTTATGTCTGATTTATTTTAATATATGTGCAAACATTAGACAATAGGATTACGTGTAGGAGTGATTACAAATAGTTGAGTAAAGAAGTCTCCGGAGAGTGGTTAGATTCATACCAGGAGGCAGCCCTTACCAATGAGGTGGAAGCTGCAGGGGTTTGGTCTTTACAAGAGGTTCTAGATACCACTGAGAAGTTAAATAAGAGAGGCACAGAGTCTCAGTGCCCAACTTGTTGGCGGGAACATTAACACTAACCTGAGTTTTCAGACTGCTGATCTCTCCTATGAATTCCAGTTTCTAATCCACATAGTAGTACAAGCAAATTCCTTAAAATCAACTATCTATCTATCTATCTATCTATCTATCTATCTATCTATCTATCTGTCATCTGTCTGTCTATATATCTATCTGTCTATTTGTATATCTATACATCTACATATCATCTCCCTCTCTCTGTCTTCCTGTCCCTTTCTCTACCTTATTCTATGGAAAATACTAAGAGATTTTGATGTCTTAGGAAAACAGAGAAAGCAGTCTTTGGTAAGGGAAAAAAAAGGGGGGGGAATTACAATAATCTCAAACTTTATATATTTTGACTACATATCCACAAGGGCAGGTGTTTCAAATGAAACATTTAGAAGACTATGTGTGGTGATATTTTATTTGTGCACCCCAACAAAGCTTATCTGAGGACCAGAGGAAAAAGCCAGCCACTATATTAAGCATAGAGGTCAGCAGTGGTAGCACACACTTTTAATCCTAGCATTCGGGAGGCAGAGATTCATCTGGATCTCTGTGAGTTCAAGGCCACACTGAGAATAGAGCCAGGCGTGGTGGCATACACCTTTAATCCCAGCACTAGTTAACCATAGAGGTCTAGAGGTCTGTACAGACAGACAGGAAGTGATAGAGCTGGGTGGAAAGAGGAAGTGATGTAGCTGGGCGGAGAGAGGAAGTTAGATGGCAGGGTATAGAAAGGTATATAGGCATGAGTATACAGGAAGTAGCTCTCACTTGGGCTGAGGATTTCCTAGTGGTAAGAACTTGTGGCTTAGCTTGTTCTATTCCTCTGATCTCTCAGTTTTCACCCCAATATCTGGCTCCAGGTTTTTTTATTAAAAAGACCTTTTAAAATTCGTGTTACAACTATGTACAATTACTGGAATTTATTTTATCTGCTTTTTACATTGTGCTCTCAACCAATTTGGAGACTCACATGGTCATTAGACTTTTTCTTTCATTCTTGAGCTTGAGGAAGCGAACCTTGGCAACTGCACAGAGCTGCTGCCTCCACAGTGCCATGCCACTGATTGTGTTTCCTGATGACTCTAGGGAGGACACGACTCGCTCCAGCTCAACAAGGCTTCCCATGTCTTTTGCCCCTTCGCTTTGTAAGTGCCCACAGATTCCAACATCTGCAATGTAATATCAGTCATCTATAAGGCGCAGTTTACTGTGCATTGCTTAGCTTTTCCCACAACCATTTACTCAACAGGAAGTTCCAGCATTAGTGTTGTGAGCAAATATGCGCTCTAATTCATGGCTATATTAAAGCAAATAGTGAGGAAATGAGAGAGAAGCAAAACAATTTGAAGCAATAAAAAGAAACATTGTAATTTTTTAAAAGGCATGTGCAGCTTTCTATGACATATTCTAGGAAATCCACGAAAATAAACCCATGCAGAAGTGTCCTTGTTACAAGAAATAAACCACCTTGGTATTTCTGGACAAATTAACAATGATAATACTTGCAGAAGTCTCCTCTCCCTTCAAGAACATAAGGATGGTAGACATGACATTTTTGATACAGCCATATTATAAAACCTAGATAAAACTTTGCTTCTTTTTATTAGAAACCTTGGAAAAATGAGATTTCTAGAAAATTACAAAATGTGTGCACATGAAGTACTGGGTAAAAGACAGTAGCATAGCTCTTGCCTAGCATGATACTGAAAAATAAAAGTGGATGGATGAGTGTAGGAGTATCTGCCTTTAAACCGAACACTTGGTAGGCAGAACCAAGTAGATCTCTGTGAGTTCAAGGCCAGTCTGATTTTCATAGCAAGCTCCAAGCAGCCAGAGCTACTCAATGAGACTGTCTCAAAAATGAATGAATTCATTTTTTCACCATAATCTCTAATTTTCCCTCCTCCACAGCCTTTTATATCCATGTAATATGACACCTCATTTTTTATTGTCTATTCTATGTGGACCTAATGTGGTACATTGCCATCTCCTATAAGTCTATATTTCTTCTCTACTTTTTTCCCAAGGCTAGTACCAACAAAGAAAGGCATGCATATCATCTCACTCAAAGCTCCCCTCCTTTGTACATCTTCTCCCTTACCTGATTCATCAGCCATTGACTTCCCTTCTAATTTCAGGAACACCTCATTCAGAGTTGTCATGGAAACACCATAATTCTCAATGCCTTGGTTAGAACACCTATCAAGATCCCGGTAAAGGTCTAAAAGTAGGCACATAGTAGATTACAGTATAACTTATAACAAGGCAGTAAATAATATCTTTCAAAGTGAGAAAATATTGATAAGAATCTACATGTACTTTTATCATAAACTGATATCAATGTTCACTTAATTTATAAAACATAACTATAGAATATATTAGTTTCCACGGTTTCTTCAGCATCCAAGTATAACATAAATATTTATGCTTCCATACTTAGAAAACTACTCAGTTTTTTTTTAAAAAATGATTTATGTGTTTAAAACTTTTTAATTCCAAAGGCTGAAGAGATGATTCGGTGGTTAAGAGAACATGCTGCTCTTGCAGAGACCCCAGATTCTGTTCCCAGCACCCACATGACAACTCACAGCCACCTATGACCCTAGGTCTGGGGGATCTGAGACCCTCTTCTAGTTTCAGGGACATCATGCACGCACATGGTGCACAGGTGTACAGGTGGGTAAAGCACTCATATACATAAAAAATATTATATATTTTTAAATTTCAAAATTTTAGGTATATGTGTGTGTGTGTGAGAGAGAGAAACAGAGACAGAGACAGAGACAGAGACCATGGAGTCCCGAGGAGGTCTCCTATAGATGGAGCTACAGGTAGTTGTGAGCTGCCTGACATGGATGCTAGGAAGTGAACTTGGGGCCCCTGGAAGAGAGGTTACAAGCACTCTCAATTACTGAGCCCTCTCTCTAACCCCTTTCATTCTATTTTAAATTCTCTTACAGTGGGGACAGGGGGGAGTTAATTCTAAGCTCTGATTAAAGATTAGTATCGAGAGAATAAAAATTTATTCTTTTAGGTTAAGATTAGTTAAGAAACTGTAATAACTGTCTTAGGGTTTCTGTTGCTGTGAAGAGACACCAAGACCACAGCAACTCTTATCAAGGGAAAACATTTAATTGCGGTGGCTTACTTTTTCAGATGTTTAGTCCATTGTCATTATGATGTGACATGGTGGTGTGCAGGCAGACATGGTGCTGGAGAAGTAGCCGAGTGTCCTACATCTTTGCTTGCAAGCAACAGGAAGTGGTCTCTGAGACTGAGCGTGGCTTGAGCATGTATGAAACCTCAAAGCCCACCTCCACAGTGACATACTTCCTCCAACAAGGCCATACCTACTCCAACAAAGCCACATCTGCTAGTAGTGCCACTCCTTTTGGGGGCCATTTTCTTTCAAATCACCACAAAAACCAACGTGAAAACACTGATGCTTACAGAAATAAGTAATTTCCATGAACTCTGAAAAGTACAAATTAAGACAAGGACAAAGGACATAGTGTGCCTCTGTGCTTCCCTTGAAAGACCTTCTGTTCACTTATATTCTCTCTCCTCCCTACCCCTCCTCTCTCTTTATCTCTCCTTTCCTCACTCCCTTCCTGTGGTGGCCCACAGAGGCTATCTAGGGAGAAATTACTCAGGGTCAGAGAATATGAGCTTGCTTTACCCAGCAGGGCTGCATAAGGAAATGATTTGACCATGGGTGTGGTTGCCAGGTATTTGGAAGGGTCTACACTTGGCTGTGTAGTGTGCTTTGATCTTGCAAGGGAGAGGTCTTTTACCCCAGCCCTTGGCATTGTTATAAAAAGCCCCTTTGAATAAACAGAAGAGGCAGTTGGGTAGTGATCCACACCCTCCCAAGGCTATCCTGTGTTTCTGTCTTTCTTCTCGTTCTCTAGGCCTCTTTCTACCTGATACTTCTTGTCCCTCTCTCCTCCTCCTAAGAACCCTTCAAATGGTGGGAGCTGGTCTCCCACACCTTTCTTCCTCCTTTTTCTTCTTAACCTGGTATGAGAATTACTCAGAGACACTGACATAGGGTACATCCATGTGAAGGATTAGCAGGCCATTTTGAGAATTTTTAAATGATGTTGGGAATTGAAGCTACCTTAATTATATGCTGAAGAAAAATAGATAAGTGCTCCTACTTTCTTCAGTTCACTCTTCAGTTGGTCTCTAAATCAGTGGTTCTCAACCTGTGGGTGTTGACCCACCGGGGGCAAAGATCAGATATCCTGCATATTAGATATTTACATTACAATTCATAACAGTAGCAAAATTACAGTCATGAAGTAGAAATGGAAATAATTTTATTGTTAGGGATCACCACAACATGAGGAAATGTATTAAAGGGTCACAGCATTAGGAAGTTTAAGAACCACTGGTCTAAATGATTCAGCACTTTGGAATGCATTTTAAAAGATAGTCACGTAAACCATGTTGTTCAATCTTCATAAAGTCTTCAGAATGATATATATCTCAAATACATTGTGTGTATATCTAAGAATAAATCATGTCCCTGCTTCCAAGATGAGTTCATCTCTTCCATTATTAATATATAAAATGTTATTTATTCTTTCAGAATTCATAGGTGAACATAACATATTTCGATCATATTCACTCCACAGCTCTCCTCCCCAACCCCTCCCAACTACATGTGGTGCTCTTATTGTGTCTGTTGTTACGATTAAATGATCCTTAAGAGAAATGATTCTTAAATGAAAGAACGCTGCCATTTCTGATAATCTAATGTGAGGATGGATCATGATATGAAACTACAGAACTCATTCTTTTTGTCTTATGCTCACAAGTCCTACTTATTGATATCTTAGAGCTGGAGAAACACCACAGTAACCACATGTCAGACAAGGTCCCTTTATGCATTATAGATATTTAATAATGTTTTGCACAATAATTTAACCATCAGGACGGACCCATAAAGGTATAACGGCCATTTCCTTTACGAAAGTGAGAAAACTGAAGAGCAACGTAACTTGTTCAGGATTACCTGGAAATTTGTTTGTCCTTTCCAGGGGCAGGATATAGACAAGTCTTTCTTCACTTTGTGCAGTCAGTCTGGCATCAGGGATGTGCTTTTTGACCAGTGATGTTATACTCTCTGGCTCACATATGTCATTCAGATGCAAACTAATATTCAGAAAGAGTAAGATAAAGTTATTTTGTTTAACACTGACTCTAAAAGCAACTTCTTATGTAGTATGTTTGCCACTTCATGAATACTTATAAGACAAAATTGTGTAATTTACAGAGGAACTAGATGCAATGATACTAATGTAATTCAAACAATCTGCACAACATAGCAGAGTAACTAGTAAAAGGGAAGACTAGATTCATTTAAGGTAATTCAAGAACTGTCATTTGAAGGAAAGAAATAATTGACCAAATCCTCACTGGGGTAAGGTAAATGGGAATACACCATCTACTAAGAAAACCCAGTAATGAATTCTCCTTTTTCAGTTATGCATGAGCTCTGCAAACACTTGCTTGAACTTTGTAAAAGCAAGATGGAGATAATCTGTGGTCATTAAGAATATGGTATTGACATCATATTATACAGGCCCCAGAGTCTAGGTGAGCTGGTCACCATCTCTGAATATCAGAATTCTTATCTGTGAGATAAAATAATACCCAGATCTTAAATCAACCTTAACAGGTAGAATGAAATAGTATTTATGAGATAGTATTGGGTGTTTAATGGAGTAAACTCTCAATATATGATAGATAATTTTATCATTTTGTGCAAAATTTATTCAAGTAATAGCTGAAGTCTTTCATAACAGTCTATGTAGTTCTTTTCTTTAATTAAGAGATTTTTTTCTATTCATTTTACATATCAACCATGGGTTCCCCTGTCCTCCCTAGTTCTTTATGAAAATTGGGGTTTTTAGAAACACCATTGTTCGTCATGTCTACTGAAATGTACTGAGAAGACAGAGTGGTGTAAACATCACACTTCACTGATTACATAAATCTAGTTTAATTTTAAGATTGTTCTGTGCTTTGGAAGTGCTGTGCTTAGCATTATCAAAGACACCAAGCAGGAGAAATTCAGCCCCTTCCCTAACATAGCTTGCCGCAGAATGATGATGCAAAGCAAGAGGTTTTCAGAGAAAGTGAGGGAGAGCGAAGCTGTGTTAATTCAGTTAAGTACTCTGCACTCTGTCAAGTACTCATCAACTACCATCAACTAAAAAAAAATAGGTATTATTACTGCTGTTTTACAAATGAAGTTACTCAAGACCAAAGAAATTAATTAAGCAACCATTTGAATTAGCACTTTCTGGATTCCAGCACAGGATATTCATTAAGGAGGAAATATTCAGGAACAGCCTCCAAGAACAGGTAAATGGACTGGACAGATAGATCAGCAGTTAAGAGAAATTGCTGCTCTTATACAAGATATGGGTTTGGTTCTGAGCACCTCCATCTGGCCACTCACAGTCACCTGTAACTCTAGCTCCAGGTATCTGACGCTCTAATCTGGTCTGTGTGGACACCCATGCACATATTCACATGCCCACACATAGACACACACATATGCAGGGGTAATGTTCATATGTGGTTGAGTGTGATGAAGGAAGATGTAACAGATATCCTCCATAAGACAGAAACAAGACAACTACAAAGACCTTCATCGAGACTTTCTCAGAGACCAATGTGTACACCTTTTATTAGAGGGAAATTATTTAATCTATTTGTAATAATGGATAGTACTGGTACTGTAGATTTGACCAGCTTAAGAAATCAAAGAAAGTAATTGTGAGGTCTATTGAACCTCCAGTATGATGTTATTTTTATTGTATTTTTAAAGATTTATTTATAATAATCATATGATTATCCTGAAGTGAAAGATACCTAAAAGGAACGTGGCAAAAAAGAAATCAGAGAGGATAGAGAATGTATTGAAATTATCTGTCTGAAAAGAAATATGCTCTGAGGACCTGTCCTCAGTGCATGAGCTGGCTGTTTGGAACCTGGGGCTTATGTAGGGACACTTTGCCTGGGAGGAGGGGACTGGACCTGCCTGGACTGAATCTACCAGGTTGAACTCAATCCCCAGGGGAGTCTTTGCCCTGGAGGAGATGGTAATGGGGGGTGGGCTAGGGGGAAGGCGGGGGGGGGGGGAGGACAAGGGAATCTGTGGCTGATATGTAAAATTAAATTAAATTATAAAATAAAAAATTATATAAAAAAAGAAATACGCTCTGAAATAGGATGAGAGAAAGGATCAAATACCAATAAATTATTCTCAGAAAGCAATGTATCATGAAAACATTTTCCAAACACTTTCTTTATACCTGCTTTAACGTGTAGATTTTTAGTGTGTACGATGCCATGTATCTTATCTTCTTGCTAAGAGCACACATAAGTTAATTCTAACGTGTCTCTTGAAGTCACCTTTGTGGCTGTATATCGACTTTGACCTGATACCAATGACACCTGTCACCAGTGTGTTTATCATGCATCTGTCTCCAGTAGTGAGAGCTGTACCTTAGATGATAGCCAATGCCCCATTTCTTCTTCAGGAACAGAGAAGAACCTGCACACCTCAGCCTCCCACTGGATATAAACACCTTCCTGTCTGGTTGGGAAGAACCAAAAGATACATTTTAATAAAGAGTGATTTTTTTTTCAGTGATCATAAATGTGAAAATCAAAATCTATGAACAAATGATGTTTCAGAAGCATGCCACACTAGAATAGTGACATACTCATTCTGAGACTTCCTAGGTACTCTAGTAACTGAAATGATGAATTATGTTTGCTTATTCTCTGCACAGTTAGGAAAGTTATTAACCATGTACATAGTGAATTACAAGCCTGCCGACATCTATCCATGTGGAATAAAGCATGCTTGAGACAATACTGTATACTTTACAACCTTCACTTCTCTGTGATGGGATAAGACTCCGTCCATGGGACAAAGTCCTCTGTCTAGAACACAGAGATTCAAATGGGTGAAAGCAATTCTCCAATGTTGGCTGTGGCTATTGCTAGTGAGATGCGTCTATGGGGCCTGTTCGTAACCCATATTTGAGTCCTACTTTCTCACTCTGAAACATTAAAAAAACAAAAACAAAAAACTATAGTTACCAGCCAGGATATCGGCCTCATCCATGAACTGGGTACTGAAGACAATCACTCTGTCTAGTTTCCTCTCTTTCAGTAGGTTCCATATACGATGCCTTGAGAGTGGATCCAACCCAGAAGTTGGCTCATCGAGTAGCAAAACCTGGACAGTAGAAAGTGCCACAGAGTCATTTTTCCCTCTGGGGCAAGATGATTCTAAAAACACTGTAGTTTTGAAAGTATTGGTATATGTGCTTAAAAGTTTTCTTAAATTTATCATTTGCAAATGTATCGAATATAATAGTTTCTTAGTCTCCAAACTGATTTCATGAGTGGTTTTTGTTCACCTTACCTGAGGGTCTCCTAAAATGGCAATCCCAAAAGTCAGTTTCCTTTTTTGTCCACCACTTAAATTCTGAGCAAGAATGTCTTGAATATTTTCCATTTCTAAGTCCCGTAAAACTCGGTGTATCTAACAAAATAAAGAACATTTAGTCTAAAACCCAAGATGTTTGTTCTCTTTTTGTGACCAAGTCTCCCTCTGTAGCCCAGGCTGGCTTAAACTTCAGCAATATTCCTGCCTTGGCCTCCCAAATGCTGGGATTACAGGCATGTACCACCCTGACTACCTTACTTTTAAAACACAGCTTTCTATCTTTATAAAGAACCTTTGTGGCAAACTTCAGACAGTGGATGTGTGCAGACAACACAAGTACATTCAGTGTCTTCCAGGTGACCCATTTCATTTCATCGTTGCCTAACAGTGGACCTGTTCATTTACCTCTTGCTCCACCTCATGTGGCAGAATTCCCTTTATCTTAGCAAAAAGCCTGAGATTTTCTCTCACGGTGAGAAAACCAAATTGTATGTTGGATTGTGGACAAACTCCGGTGAGCTTGATGACAGCATCCAAGTCATCCATTTCTGAAAGTGTCTGATTATAGATGGTGACGGAACCTATGCAGAGAAAGTAAAGAGTTACCATCAGGACAAAGTATAAATTATGTAAATCACAAGATTCATTCGAGCATATTCTTCCTGCTTGCAACACACAGAGGGTAAAGGGTTTCTTATGCGGTATGAGAACTGGAGTTTAGATCTCCAGCATCACGTAAAACTTTTGTGTGTGTGAGTGTGCCAGCATGCACCTGGAGTCTTACTGCTAGGAAGGACAGGTGGAGATAGGAAGACACTTTGAGCTCATTGATCACCGAGCCTGGTCAAAACAGTGAGCTTCGGTTAAGTGCAAAACCTTGTCTCAAAGAATAAGATGAAGGCAATATGAAGAGACTTCAAATTTCCAGCATGGATGGGAGAGGGGCTCCCAGTGCCCCACCTTAAGCTGAAGAGCTAATGGCTTCTGAGAGTGGCAGAGTTACTTTGCTTTGTGTGTGAAGGGTAGGTTTCCTGTGCCCCAGAGGATGACCACACACACACTTATGCATATGGACAGCACTACTTGAATTTATGGTTTTTTTTTTTAAAGACATGAAGCATGAAGTTGGGAGAAAGAGAGGAAATAAGTTGGGGTGGGACAGGGAGGTGCTGGAGAGTGGGAGTGTGGGGTGGATATGACCCAGATACACTGTACACATATATAAAATTTCCAAAAATAAAAAGAATTTTTAAACTAAAAAATAATTTAAAACAGCCGGGCGGTGGTGGCGCACGCCTTTAATCCCAGCACTCGGGAGGCAGAGCCAGGCGGATCTCTGTGAGTTCGAGGCCAGCCTGGACTACCAAGTGAGTTCCAGGAAAGGCGCAAAGCTACACAGAGAAACCCTGTCTCGGAAAAAAAAAAAAAAAAAAAAAAAAAAAAAAAAAAAAAAAAAAAAAAAAAATAATTTAAAACAAAAGGATGAATGTCAGGAGCAATTATCATGAGCTATTGTGGCCCATGACCCAATAACAGCTTATAGCAATTGGTAATTTAGATATCAACCCACCAGAGGAATGATTCTCTGATGGGACACCCCATCAGCAAAGCTTGCAGATCACTGACTCTGAAAACTGTTGCTCTCACCTGTAATTCCACTTGTGCAATAACAGCTATGATGTCTCCCCATTACCATGCATTTTCAAGTAATGTGTACATGTAATCTCATGATTATATCTCAATATTATGGGTGCACATATTGTCAGGATGGTCAGGAAGATGACTTCTCATTTAGCTGTATAATTTTGATATATAGAAAGTATACTAGAATATGCTTCATAACTAGATCTATTGTTCCATGTGACTGTTAGACATTGAGAGGTCTGTTCTCCATCCTTGGCTTACTGGCAGGGCAAACTGGCCAAAGGAAGTGCCGTTGGGATAGATTACAGGCAGAACTTTCACAGATTTTATTCTTGAGTGAAACTGCAGATGTTTGGCCTTTTTGGATCAAAGCCCTTCAAAAGGTTTATAGTGAACTAGGGTGAAGTCACAGGTGTCTAACCAAGGTTCTTAACACAAGCAGCCTAAAATATCATGCCAATTCTTCACTTGCCAAGTACAGCTGATAAAAGACCTATGTCTCAAGCTTATCTAACTGGGCACTGTGCCACCGGACTCTGATCACAGTCTTAGTCCTGAAACTTGAAACTTTGTGTTGCCATGGTAAATAGCTCTACCCTTATTGCTCACCTAATGAGATGTGAATCTTGTAATTGCTTCAAGCCTCCTGAAAAAAAAGTGTATTTAAGCTAGATGAACAAGAAGCTGCGAGGAATTGGAACTAGAGAATTAGAGTTTAGAATTTATAGACAATTAGCACAAGAAAATTAGAAGAAAACAGAACAATATAGAGACATAACTGGAAAAACATGCATGTGAATTATTCTATAAACCCTCAGATTAGAGACATCACAAATTCCCTTCACTTGGATGTAGTGTCTGGCCTGAACCCTGAAGGGGTCTTGTAAGCTGGACTCAAAGGACCCCATTAGGTGAAGAAGCGATTGGGAAAGGCATCAACCTCCACATGTCCTCACCCAACCAAGGTCACCCACACATACCCACATACTACACACATAGAGACAGGAGGGGGGTTCAAAATCACATCTAATCTAGCAGAAATGTCAATTAATAACTGAATAATTATAAAGCAATTTGTATCAAGTACAAACATTTTCACAAATATGTGCAATTATATAAAAATAAAGAAACATCTAAAACTTTTCTTAGCTTCTCAACTGACGTATGAAAACATAAAAACAGTGTCTACTAATGGGGAAACATGATTCAACATGTGCATATATTGTGCAACATTTAAGGAAAATTCCAATTTTTTTTGTCTTAATGACATGATGCAGCAAGTTAACTAGTGAAAAGCACAACTTAATCATTCGCCTTTGAGCTTGTCTTTGAATAAGTGTCCTCTTACCTGTAGTTGGGGGTGACAGTCCACAGAGTGTATTTATCAGTGTAGTTTTCCCAGCTCCACTGTGGCCAAGGAGGGCAGTGATCTGGCCTTCATATATGTCAAATCCCAGACCTGACATAATTTCAAAGAGATTACATTCACTACTTCTATAGTCATTTTATAGTCTCCACAGCTCACAATTTCTCACTGCATAGATGTATGTGGGTACTAATTTTCAAAATAAAATCAGTCTTAAAATTTGTCCAGCTATCTGTAATATCTCTTCTTCATCTACTGAAGTTTTACAACAAGTCTCTAAATCAAACACCCATGTTAAATGTAATCTTATTTTATTACCTACCTCTTAAAGCTTCTACTTTTCCATGCTTTCCTGTGTATTCCTTTTTAAGATTTTTGATCCTGCAGAAAAGAAAAACTGTTTTGAGGAAATTACAGAGATTGGAGGAGGCTTGATAAAACCTGGAGGTTCTTTATTTTGCATAGGCACAGTCAGAAGCATCCTGGGCATCCCATGAGATGCAGCATCTCTGACAGTTGCAGCTCAACAGAAAATAAGTGGAGGGAGTAGCTGGCGTGTGACTCCATGCAGCTGTACATACAGATTCTAGCAGATGACTGGAGAAGAAACCAATGGTAGGAGATTCCCGTGGCGTGGGTGAAGGGAATCATGTCAGTGCAGAAAATCTTGAGCTTTGGAGTCAAACACTCTGAGTGAAGTCCCATCTGTGTCATTTACACAGAGCTCTGGTACAAATACGGAACTCACAGAGCCCAAGTCCTCAGTAATAAAGCAGGGATGACAACACTAATTATCACATAGGGTTGATTGAGTCCTACAGAAAACAAGAATTACAGAACCCAAGACGTTTGAAATTTCAGAAGAAGAGGAAAGGAGAAGAAAATGATGAGGTGGTTTTAAGAGCCTGTAGAAGTGCATTCCATATCCAAGCACTTGGGACTGAGGGAGGAAGTTTAGGAATCTGAGGCCAACCTGGGATACATTGTGAGTTCCAGACCAGACTGGCTTACAAACTAAGATCCTGTCTTAAAGAAAGAAAAAGTATACAGAAGATTTTCAATGAGTTGAAAGTCTACTATGTTCCAGATCCTGTGCAGACTACAGGCATTAATTTTGTATAACATCAAAGCAATGCATCATGCGGGCTACAGACAAAATTCAAATAAAGATAAGGGTCTTTGGGATGTGTAGCTGTTTGGAAGTCACAGAACTGACCACAGCTCATGCATGGCTTCTGGGGGAGGGGATGCAGGGCATTAGTGCCCTACAGTCTGTCGGATCATCTCTTCCTGACTTTCTGAAATGTCTCTAGCTCCCTTTCTGCATCACTTATATTTTTGTTTTCATCTTATCCACCAAGAAGGGACGTGAAAAGAGACAAAGCAGATTATAGAGAAAAGGTATGAGAACAGGGGAGAGGTGGTGGAACTGTTTATCACCAAGAGAACATCGTAGCAAAACATGAAGAAAAGACAAGGAGGATGCTGAGAGTGTGGATGTCAACTTATCTGCTGACAGTGGTTACTGTACCAAAGATGTTAGTAAGGATGAATGACAGAGATGGGATAAAATACAGTGCTATCTAGAATAACAATATCCTTTTGTGAGAACAGTGGGCTGAAAGGATGTGGGCACAGAGGGACTCAGAAGGAAATCTTCGTACATCGTTGTCTTGCCTGGTAGGTCCCCGATTTGGGGCCTGTTTTCTATTGCACTTCCATGTGATTATTTGTTACCTGATGGCCTCTTTTCCCTGGAATTCTGGAGGCACTGGTTCAAATGAGTCATCCAGTGAAGGATCAGAATCTATTTCATTCTCAAGGACCACGTGATTAGCTCCTCTGTTTTGAAACCAATAAGATGACTTCAGGAAAAACAATGGAGACCGTTGATGTCCATACTTGCCTACATGGACAGGAGACAGGTAAGTATCAGGTCAGTCACCACTTCGAGGATTGCAGTCTGTTCAGTGCAGAATGCCAAATCAACCTCTTTTACTGTCACCCTGAGCCCACACTTATCACCTTACGTAGTACCACCTAATGTGGTACTTCCAATATGAAAAAAAATGCAGCATTGTAAACTAAAAGAAAAAGTCTTTAGGGCAGAGTGACTTGTTTCAAGAGGAACTTAAACATTCTATTATGACCAAAATGAATGGATAAATGTGGTACATATAAACATGAAATATTACTCAGCTCTAAGAAAAATTAAATTTGCAAGCAAACAGATGGAACTGGAAAAAAATTATACTAAGTGAGGTAACTCAGTCTCAGAAAGACAAATGAATGCCCTATGTTCTTTCTCATATGCAGAGCCTAGCTTCAATATTTTATTTTGTGTGTTTAACTTGGAGCAAAATAGAAGCCAGGAAACTAGAGAGGTGGGGTTTGGGGAAATATTAGGGGAGGGGCATAGTGGATTAGAGATAAAATGAGAGTGGTGAAGTGGATTATCAGGGTAGAAAGACTTAAACACGGAAGGGTCATTGGTTGGGAGGTAGGAGGGAGTGAAACGGGGCTAACCCAAAAGACGAGGATAAGAAAAACCACATATACTTCTTCTATCTCACAACCCAACCTAAAAACAATATCACCAGAAGGATAGTAGAACACATGGAAAATGAAAGAAGAGGGAAATACTAAGGGTTAATGGATTGAAGGGAGATAGGGATGGGAGAAGAGCAAGAGGAGGGAGTAATGAGTGAGTTAACCACAACTAAGAGTTTATGAAAGGGCCTTATGGAAACCCACTAGTTAGTAAGCTAATTTCAAGAGTTCAAATGGAATTACCATGCATGAGTGGACAATGTCACTCCAAAAGATATGGGTAATTATTAAATGAAAATTGAAATACAAAGCATAAGACACCTTCCTATGAGTTATTGGTCAGGGAATCCCCAGGGATTTCAAAAAAAAAAAGGCATTGACATTGTCTTTAGACACCCACCCTAACTATATGGTAAGATCCTAGACACCACATACTTTGGGTAAGGACATAGAGAAATTAATACTCAGCTACCCAAAAAGCTTCCTCCATACTGGCCAGCTTCCATAGTGCCAGAAGGTACGATGCAGGTTTCAGAGGGGAGAAAAGACAACTATAGTCTTACTCAGCACTGGACCATGTGTGTTACAGCACTAACAAGCCAAGCAAGATGTATCTACTGAAATAATGGCACAGCTATTAGCAGGTAAATAGCTACTTTATAATTGGATTTGAGGTCTGCCCCACAGGAGGAAATTTCATGCCTGGTACTGTAATGCTGGTCAAAAACCCGTGACTTGGAGGTCATGGGCCCTAGGGAAGATCCTGGTATTGTTATTTTACTGAATGGCCATGTTTTCAAATTGTCTTCTAAATACTTATGCCTATACCCATTTTCTTAGTTAGGGTTTCAATTGATGTAATACTATGACCAAAAGTAACTTGGGGAGGAAAGGGTTTATTTTACCTTACAACGTATTAGTCCATCACTGAGGGAACTCAGGGCAAGAACTGAAGCAAGGAAGAAACCTGAAGGTGGAAACTGAAGCATAGGCCATGGAAGAGAGATGCTTACTGGCTTGATTCCCAGGGCTTCCTCGGACTGTTTTCTTATAGAACCCAAGACCATCAGCCCAAGGGTAACACTGCCCAGAGTATATCAAACTGACAGAAAACTAACCAGCACACCCGTAGACCTAGGCTGCTCTCAACCTTCATCAGAGAAGCTTCTTTTTGCAGTGGAGAGCAGTCAACAAATAACTGACTAAAGTGCTGAGAGTAAGAGGCTGCTGAATGTTCAGCCCTAAATGAGACGTCAATATAAACACCACCATCACCAAGGCTCAGGAAACATTGCGGAAGAAGAGGTATAAAGATCGTAAGTGTTGAAGGATGGGGAGGAGTGTTATGAAGTACTGTCTTCTAGACATGATGTGGCTATTGCAAACATGAGCTAAGATGTAGTGTAAGTGTAGTTTTAAGTTTAAGCTAAGTGTAGTTTTCTGAATAAGACCTATACAAGACCAAGCCAGTCAAAATGTCAGCACAGGTGGGATGGAGGAGCTCCAGGCCCCATGCCATTCTGAAGAGACAGTGTTAATGCATAGTTGCTGGGAAAGGGAGGCTCATGTTTTATGGGGGTATGGTCACTGACTGGTTTCCCATACTCCAGTGGAGAGCCACTACCCATGCATATAGGGGCACTACTAACTGGAATTAATGGATTATTTAAAACAAAAATAAATGAGGGAAAACATCTTTTGAAGGACATGGAGGAAGTTGGAAGTGGAATGGAGAGTTGATATGATCATGTTTCATTGTATATAGGTATGGAATTCTCAAAATGTTACCTATAATTTCAGAAATTTTGAAAAGAAAATGCTATACCATTTATATTCAATACATTGTAGAAAAGTGATTCTCAACCTGTGGAACACAACCCCTTTGGGGATCGAATGACCCTCTCACAGGGGTTGCCTAAGACCATTGGAAATATCAGATATTTACTTCATGATTCATAACAGCAGCAAAATTGTAGTTATAAAGTAGTAATAAAAATAATGTTATGGTTGCGGGGGTGGAGTCACCACAACATGACGAACTGTATTGAAGGGTCACAGCATTAGGAAGGTTGAGAACCACTGTCATAGACAGTTACTTTTAGTAAATGCAGATAATAAAAATGTATGAAATTACAATAATTCTACTACTTACTGAGTAAAATTTTGTTAAAATACAATGCCAGTACCAAATAGAGAAAAGCATCCAAAACCAACATAAAAAGGATGGCTATGATGAGGTACGAGTTGTTTGGAGAGTCCAAATTAACATTAGAATTCACATCGTAGTCCAAATGTATAAGCTGAAAAAGAGATGCATAGAGTTTTTAAAAGATTAATGAAAGTTTACAGATAATTGTTGTCTTAGTTCTGTTAGATACCAAAAAGAACGATAAATGATTTATAATTTATATCTCTATACAGCTCAGCCTATTGCCATTCATAGCAGCTACTATGGTTAACTCTCCTCAGAGGAGGTAAAAGGTCCAGGAAGGTGGTATTTGAGACATGTCAAATACAAAAATTCATCTGGATTAAAAGGAATGAAGGGTGAAGGTGTTCTTGAGTGGGGCACTCCATATCAGAGTAAAAAACTTTGAGGAATGAAAGTTTGTGAGTTGGCACAGCCTTATCTGATAGGAACAGCAAAGCATAAAGCCAGCACAGCTGCCTGACAAAGAGCCAGCAAAGCTGAGCCTCAGGATAGCCGCCATGCAACCTTTGGTTATCATCTCCACCTGTTGTATACTTGGGGGACTTTTAATATTTGTATTTGGGGATATTGGATTGATGGAAAATTTTTTATGAGTCATTTATGCCTTCTCCCAGGAGTATTGCTTCTAAGCTTCCCCAGGAAAGTCCTGAACATACTACCCCTCCAGCTTTTAGGGAGATATATATCCTTATCTACTTCAAGGTCTTCCTTATGCCTTGGAGGTTGTGACACACATAAAGAAGCCAGAGGTCTCGTTATGAGGCTATGAGACATTCTTGAAACATCCGTCCTTGTACTTACTCAGGAACAAGATATTCAAAACAAAGTAAACTTTAAAAAGTCAACAAGATTTGGTGGGCTAGAGGAGTTGGCCACAGTTCAGATTGCAAGTCTCTTCTTATATACACTCAGGCAATTACATGGCATATACAGTAACAAAGTTAGATTATCTGAAGTTACCTCTGCCCTACACAGAGACTTATATTGATGAGCAAAGAATGGAGTGGAAAGATGATATAAGAATGAGACCTCCCTTACCACATGCAGAGTCACTGTGATGTCATATGATTGATCAAAGAACAAAAGAATGCCAGGATTAGACATATAAACAAATTTTATATGGATATAAAATATGAACATTGTATTATATCAGAATTTGAATAATAACTGCAGCAGCTTTGGCCTGAGGACTTTTCTTGGGCACTCTGACCATTAAGAGTTAATAATACACTCCTTGGGACATGGCAATATGCCTGGGCTGGCTTGAAGATTTTGTTTTGGTCTAGCATCCTTGAAGCAACCAGAGCTACTAGCCTGAGAACAGGCTGTCCTATGCCTCTAGAGTCTTAAAAACTGGGTTATAAGTTAATGAGGAAAAATGATAACTCTGTTTATCAATGATGTCAAATCTTGAGGGGAAATGATTGGAAATGAAAACTCTGTTCTGTCGTAATTTACTAATGATGGCTAAAAGATGAGCAAGAAACACCAAAACCAAAAATGATATGATCAATGTTTTGGAACAACAGGAATCTATCCCTGCTTACTAAATTCTTTATAAATAAAGAAGCACTCTGGCTGTTAGTCAGGTTGCAAGGTTCTCCCGACCATCATGGCTAGGTTACTCCTTCCCTCACCAAATCCATACATCCTCTAGGAACCTGTTTACCATTGGGGATGGCTTCCAGTAGTTTATAGTTGGGCAGAAAAGAGAAGAATAATTCCAATAGCATATAATGATTTCACATGAATTAACTTTTTGAGAGATTTAATTTCATGTAGAAATGCTCAATTAAATTAAATTTTTTCAAATTCTCAAATTTCTAATATTTGTGATACTATTAAGGCTCATGTTTCTCAGGCTTAAATCAGACAAATATTTAGTTAGAAGCATAAGCTGAGCCACATCAACTGTCAAATGTCATTCTATATTTAGAGCTACAAACTAACAAAAATCTTAGGGCCAGTCATGAGAAACCCCCTTTCAAGTTGTTTATGGGAGTCCAAGATATTGCCCAAACAATACAGGCTATTGCTGCTATCTCCCAGATGTTGGAGGTAGGTCTCTATTGCTAAAAGCACCATGCACTTTGTACACAAGACTGGGAGGATTTGACCTAGATCTGACTTGAAAGCCTCCTCCCTAAAGACTAATTTTCACAGTACTGGACAATGATATGAAAGCTGCCAAGAGAGGGAGCTAAGAGTCCTACCCAGCTGTGATGCCTACTAACCACAACAATGACCAGCACAGCAAAGCAACCCTAAACACCCAATAGCGGTATTCATATCTTAGTGTTAACCAACAGCTCTGAAGCCTCACTGAACTTGGACTGAAGCCTTACTCAACAGGAGGGGATTCATGCCTGGTACAAAAAATCCAGCCAACTACTCAGGGCTGGTGAGGTCATTGATCTTAGAGGAAAACCTACAACTGTCACTTTACTGAATCAGCACAGCTCCTAACTGCATTTTAAACATTTACCCTTATAGCCACAGTTAAGTGCAGCTCTAACTTCTCATCAAAGATGCTTTTCTTCGAAACAGATGGAGACCATTATAGAAAATTACATTGGTCAAAATGTAAACAACAACTGATTGTGGGGTTCTTTGCTGAAATGGATACAACACAACTTATACTTACTGCTCAGGGAACAGAAGAGAGAGAAGAAAGATTTTAAGAACCAAAGGAGGAGGAAAATTGCTGTGAGGTGTGTCTGCTATAAGTGACAGGGAAAATGCGCTCATTATACCTCAAGAATATGCCTAAACAAAACCTGAAAAAGGACAACACCAATAGGCATACTAATGTAGAAGAGGGAAATCTCACAGGGTCCCACCCCTGATCAAAGAAACTACAGGCAACTAAGGATGATGAGAGAGAATGAGTCTTCCCAAAGGATGAGTCCCCTAATTGGTTATCCAATATCAAGTAGTCAGCCCTGAAACCACATACATACAAGTAACACTAAAAGGATTCAGTTTGTATTTATATCTTTATGCATTTGTGTGTGTGTGTGTGTGTGTGTGTGTGTGTGTGTGTGTGTGTGTGTGTGGATGTAACAATAATAAAGAAAAAGAGGCTGTGAATTTGAATGGGAGTGATGCAGATGGGAAGGAGGGGCATGGAAAGGGGTGGAAGAAGAAGGAAAGGGGGAAATGATGTGATCATATTATAATTGTTAAAAATTACAAAAAATTTATTAAAAAATAACAGAAAAACAAAAATGTCTCTTATCTCTTAAATTTCTCTCTCTCTAAAAATAGGGAGACAACTTTAGTGTTTGGTGCATATTACATAAATCACAGAAGGAATGTGTTTAGAGTGTTGTGTACGTAAATACAATCGTGGGACAGCTCAGCTGGTAAAAGTGCCTAAGTTTGACCCCTGCAATCCACATGGTGGAAGGAGAGAACTGACACCTGCCAAGTTGTCCTCTGACCTCTAATGTCACAGCATGCCTGTGCATGTGTACACACACATACACACATCCAAATAAATAAAAATAAATTTTAGTAACATGGAAAAAACAAAAAACGATGATCTTACTTCTTACCTGGGCCATTCCAGTCGTGAAGGCAAAGGGGCTAAGAAAACACAAGCTCCATTCCATAAAGGCAGGAAGATGTTTGTACAATGCTGTGAATCCCAGACTTCCCCAAAAGATGGTAAGGAGGAAGACGGCCAAACCAGTGAGAAAAGGTTTCTTTAACAACACACTCATGAGGAAAGCTAAAGTTATCTGAGGGGAGAAAGAAATTAACTGGAATGGTGGTCTGAGGACCATGGCTTGCACACGAAAAGGAAATTCATGTTGGGATAAGTGTTATCCAAAGGCACCCGTGCTAAAGTCTTCAGCCCAAGGTACTACTGAGAGGTGGTAGAATGTTTAAGAAGTGGAGCATGTGGGAAGCTTTCCTGTCATTGGATGTTCATCCTTAAAGGGGATTGTGAGAGCCCAGCCTCTTCCTCTTTCTGACATCCCGGCCATGACGTAAGCAACTTTGATCTACCATGAACTGCTAACATGATATGCTGCTCAGATACAGGCCAACGCAACAGGGTCAACCAACCCTGGACTGAGGTCTCCAAAACTATGGGGAAAAAACCAAAACCATTTTCTTCTTGTTAGCTGATTCTCGCGGGTGTGTGGTATAGGGACTGAAAGCTGACCCGTACAGTATTTGGAAAATATGTCTCATCATTTTCAGTTGGATACTACATGGATAGTGCCTTATTGCAAATACTGCATAGAACAGAAAAGGCAGAAACACAATTAGTGATGCATGATTGGAGGGAGGGAAGCGGGGCAGGAAGAACTCACCAACTTACCAAAGACAGGCCATAAAGGAGAAAAAGAAGGAACACCACCATGAAACCAGTTAAGACGACAACTTGGGCAGATTTCACAATAAGAGACATCAAAGTAGCCACGACAAGGATAAAGCCAGCATACATCAAACCCCAGGAAAGCCTGGCCAGAAAACACAGGATTAGTGCAAATGCTATGACTCAGTCACTCCATTCATCCACTTACTAAGCAAATGGATTTTAAACTTGTGATAAATTTGTGATTTATCAAGAGTTTCTTTTAAAAGGGTAATTCCTAATGAATCAGAAAACTTCCTCATCTTAAAGCTCATATTCTTTTTTGTTGTTGTTGTTGTTTTCAAGACAGGGTTTCTCTGTGTAGTTTTGGTGCCTGTCCTGGATCTCCCTCTGTAGACCAGGCTGGCCTTGAACTCACAGAGATCCACCTGGCTCTGCCTCCTGAGTGCTGGGATTAAAGGCGTGTGCCACCACTGCCCATCTTAAAGCTCATGTTCTATAGAGTAAAGTAGACAATAAGCAAGTCAATGTGTACAATAATAAATAGCCGCCTTAGTTAATGTTGTCAACTTGATAGAGACTAGAGTCTTCTGGGAGGGGAGAAGTGTCAGTTGCATAATTGCCTAGATCAGCTTGGTCTGTGGGCAGGTCTGTGAGGCATGGACCTATTGAATGATGCAGAAAGGCATCATCCCCTGTGGGTGGCAACATTCCTCAGGCAGGTGGTCCTGTATAAAAAGCTAGCTAAGCACAAGCCAGAGAGCAAGCCAGAGAAGGAGCCAGCAAACAGCATTCTTCCATGGTTCCTGCCTCTGAGATCTTATTGTGAGTTATGGTCCAGCCTTCCCTCAATGATGGACTCTGACCAGGGAAGTATAATCCAAGTAAATCCTTTCCTTCCCTGGGTAGCTTTTTGCTTATCACAGCAACAGAGTGAAACTGAGACAGTAGTTAAGTGTGCAAAGTTAGAAGGACATGAACTGGACAATAAGATGAGTGTGATGGAGAAAGGATTTTAGGAAGAGTTTAAGGAAGAATCTGTGCTGCTTTTTCAGTTCTGCTCAACTTCTTTCATAAGGAAGTCATGGAAACAACATGGGCACTAAAGAGACACACTACCCACATTTTAGGCTTCCCAAGCCAAATAACCTTTGTCGCTATCAGTGCTGCCTTCACGGCAGAAGAGCAATCACAGACAATCTATGCCCAATGTGTGGCTGTATCCCAATGAGAACGTGTTTGTAGACAACGGCATTTGAGTTTCCAATCGATTTTTGTGTCCCCTAAACAATTGCTGCTCTTTTCATTTTCTTCCCAGCTCTGAAAGTGAAGATGCCACTCCTACTTCACAGCCTGCATAAAAGTAGTTTGCCAGCTGCGGACATCGATGATTCAGTGCAGGAAGACCCAGAGCATATCCATGGGGAACACAGCCAAGTAGGTGGATATGAAGAGGTGTATTTACTATTGATGCCAAAGACAGAAGGGGGCTCTGCACAGGGTCCAGTAATGCCACAGACTTAGGTTCGAATTTTCTCTGTTACATTATAATGAAATATGGTAAGAAGCAATTGTTTAATTTCCTTACATTTCAATTTCCTCTCTGGGGAAAAAAATTAAAGAATTAAATTAGTTGGGTATTTTTGTGGATATAACATGGTGATATATCTACAATGGACAGCTAGCTTCCTTTCATTTATAGCAGAAAATCCCATCAACTTCAGGAAGTCTTGTTTCTCCTGTTCAATTTTAATAATGCCCTTTTCACAGTATACTGAAACTATTCATCCATCTGCCTTCTATAAACTTGTTAATTTCATTCAAATAAATATCAGTTTTTCCTCCAAGGAGGAAAAAAAGTCCCTAATATTTTTTAAACTCTTCCTCACCAGATTTTTTTTTAATGTATTACCTTCCATTGGCTCCTTATAGTTTTCAATATCTTTTAAAATATAGTGAACAAATTCTCTTCAATATTATGGACATGATTTTAATACACAAAGGTACAAAAGAAAAAAATCTGCATTGTATCAAACCTGCCATCTCTTTTCTTTTTTCAAAGATGTATTCTATTTTACACTTTGTATATGTGTATCTCTGTGGGTGGGTGTGGAGGAGAGTATGTGCACATGTGTGTGTGCCTGTGGAGACCAGAAGCATGAGCTGCCCTGACCTCTAGTTACAGGCACTTGGAAGCTATCAGATTGGAATGCTGGGAAGCGAACTCGGGTCCTCAAGAGCTGCATGTGCTCTAAACAGCTGATTCATCTCTCCAGCCTCTATCTTCTTTACTTCCACACTTAGTACAGTGAACATTATTTTAGAAAAAAAATAACAAATTTGGCACAAGCCAGCCAGTAAAATGTGCATTCTTCCTATTCAATAGTTTTTCTCTTCAGACACTAGCATGTTCCTGTAAATGTGCATAGTCTCTTTACCATCTTTTTTGTTTTGTTTTGTTTTGGTTTGGTTTTTCGAGACAGGGTTTCTCTGTGTAGTTTTGGTGCCTGTCCTGGATCTTGCTCTGTAGACCAGACTGGCCTTGAACTCACAGAGATCCACCTGCCTCTGCCTCCTGAGTGCTGGGATTAAAGGCATGTGCCACCACCGCCTGGCTTTTCCACACCATCTTTAACACTGAAAATAATGGTCAGTTTGTGAAAGACAAACCTGACATTCAAATCACTGCTTTCTGACTCTGTACTCATTTCTACCTCTCTGCCTGTGTCTGATATGTCATTTGGCTGATCTTATTTTAAATCTTGTCACTAACTACTGGATCCTTGGTTTCTTAACTTACATCTACTGCCCTTTCACGATACACTGTCGTCTACACTTCCATCAACTGACATCTAGAGAGTGTTCAATGTTTCTCAGCTTCAGTGTAAGGCCCTCTAGGTACATTTAATTTAATCCCTCGGTCAACAAGAAGTAGAACTATGATCAGAGCTTCACAGAAAAGAAAACTGCAGTTGAAAGAGTTTGAATAACACATCCAAGGTGGTAGCTACTAAGTGCTGAGATGAAGACAACCTACAGCTTCCCACTGGGTTGGTCATTGTCCTAACCCCTCTGCTTTCTTGTCTCTATTAAGAAAAGCTCAGTGCTCAGGACATAATAGCTTCTCTTAAATAACCCATGTAAAGTGGGGTCAAATCATCATCACTTTTAACATAGTATCTGAAATACATATTTCATTTTACATAAAAAAACTCTTAACTTCTCACAGATGTTGGTTCACATAAACATAATAACTAGTAACTAAGAGTAACAACAACTCTGTGTTGTTAGTGCCCTGAAAATGGGAAGCAACTCAGGCTTTCTTTAAGTCAAAGAAATAGAGAAAATTCCAGTTACCAAGCGTGTGAGTTCATGTATTTCAAACATTCAGATGCCCTAGTTTTCTAAAGTATCAAGTCTAGTATGGGATAAACAAGCCTAAGGAGTCCCCACAGTTAAGTTAATCTGTTTGTAAGTGCTGATTGGTGTATCACAGACATGCAGTTTACCAGAAGGCAGACTCCCGAAGTCCCATCGTTGCCATCAATGCTGCAATGTATTGCCTTTCTTGAGCAATGTTGATGGATAAATAGTATATAAATGAAGAAAAGGAGATGACACAGAAGAAAATTAAAAAATCTGTTGTAACTCCTCCTTGGCCAATAAAAGGTAGTATCTTCATATTTGAACCAATAACTGACATCAGTTCTTCCATCACTGAATGATTTGTTGTGATCTAAACAAAGACACCACAATGAACAAATTATTATTGTAATCTAATTACAGCCTTGGGCTCTTTTCCTCAAACTGTAAGAAGGCATGTAGTTCTTGGAATGTCCAAGGTTCTACTTTAAGTTCAGTAAAAAAAATTTTTTATTCTTGTTTTTAAAATTAACTGGAGTAACACTTCAAACTAGATCTTCTCTGGAGTTTCTATCAGAGTAGCTCCTGTTTTATTGTTCATGCAGCACACGATTTACTACCCCACAATAGACCCTGAACCCTTATAATGACTGTATATCTATATTTCTACCTCTGTCTTACCAGGATCTCTGCTTAAAAGTGCCTATACTGTGTGTATTTTTAAGTTACCAGTGTGTTGACACTACAGTCTGGATATAGAAGGTGTTCGGCATACTATGCTTAGTGGCTAAAAACAACCAAATTACAAAATAAGACAATCCACATCTCCACCTATCAAAATTCAGTATATAATGGACTTAGTTTCCTTTAACCTAATACTCACCTCTATGATGCCAGCATTAATGGCAGCTTGAAAGGCCACAAAGCCTTTCTCCCAGAAGATTGAATTTTTACAAGTTATTTTGTTGTTCACTGTTTCACAAGGAGCTTCAAGAAAAGAAGACACAACCACGATTATGTGACCAGACAATCTTAGCTACAGGATAAATAAAAATCTGTAATTATCCAAAATGTGTTTAAAATCTACACTAGGACAGTATATGGTAAGGCATATAGGTTCAGATTGTAGAGCATGCCCAAAGAGGACATACCAAAATTGCTTTGTTAAAATCCTTTAAGATTAGCTCTTGAAAAAAAATAAAATAAAATAAAAGATGAGCTCTTGATTATTTTTCATACTATTTTATATTACTTCAATTTTTAAATGTTTGTTTCGGCTGCTTCCTTCTGTTGTTTGTGCCAAAAAAAAACAAACAAAGAATAAACTCATTAACACAAAAAACACTGAGCTATTTTTAAATGGGTGGGAATGACTGAGAAGATTTCTTGAAGGTTTTAATGAAGCAAAGAACAGAAAAAATAACATTTGTAACGTTTAGTTTTTTTTGAAACAGGATTTCATTCTGTAGTTCAGGCTGGTATTGGACTCATGGCAAGGCTGTAAGTTCTTAGTGGAACAGTGAAATTAAAAGTGTAACTTTGAAATAAGCATGGAGGCTCCTAAAGACACTCACAGTGGAGCTGTTATATGTGTAAAAAAGCTGCAGTTCGTGCCAGGACTCTGGATCTACATGTCATAAAGATGCTTCAACACCTATGTTTACTGCAGCATTATTCACACTAGTTGGAGGTAGAGCCTGTCTAAGCATCTACCAACAGGTGAGTAGATGCACTTACATACAGTGAAGTTTTATTCAGCCATAAAGAAAAAGAATTGTTGTAGTTTGAAGAAAAATGAATACAATAGCTCATCATATTAAACAAAATGAGTCAAACTCAGGACAAATGATCATATTCCTCCCATTCATAGAATCTAGATTTTATATAAATACATAAAACCATATATACATATAAGTGAATGACATGAATAGAAAAAGACTGAATGGGGATAATAGGAGGGGAGAGGAGAAAAGGGTGGGGGGAAATATGGTCAAAGTACACAACAGGCTTGATTGAATGTTTTTATTAAATCCATCACTATATACAAGGAATATATACCAATATTATATTTTTTAGAAAATGTAGGTCTTATTTAATAAAGGTTAATCCATTGATGCTTGGAAATTAGCATAGGGGCTTGTGTCATTCATTTTGCTGTTTCTGTATGTGCCCCTTGGGTCTAATGACATATAGCAATATCTACATGAATATATATTTCCTAATGGCAAAGTTACCTGAATGGTCTTTGTGTTCTTTTACTTGAGGGATCCTCTGACCCCAAGAAAATTTCAAATGATATGAGAATGTGTCCTTAAAGATGACTCTCACCGCATCTATTGAGTAATTTAAGTCTAGTTCATTCATACATTTTTCATCAGGACATGCCACAATTCTTCTTCCTGCCATGTGAAGAAAGGGAATAATAGTTGAGTAAGATTCCTATGTAGTCCAATGACAGCATACCAGATTTAAGTGTACTGAGGCAATTTCATGTTCAAGTTATTTCTTCCCTAATACACTCACACTTAGAATGAAGTGGGATATTTCTAATTTTCTAATCAAGCTGAAAATATTCTATGGTAAACACTCTTTTTTTTAAGATTTATATATCTTGCATATGAATGTTTTGCCTGCATGTATGTGTGTGTGCCACATGTGTGCCCGGTGCCAGAGGAAATCAGAAGGCTTCAAAGTCCCTGGAACTGGAGTTATGGATAGTTATGAGCCACAAGGTGTGGCTGGGAATCAAACCCAGTTCCTCTACAAAGAGCGACAAGTGGTATTTACCACTGAACCATCTATCCAGCCCCTGGCAGATAATCTCATTGAAAAATATTTCATATCTCTCTGAAGAATTTAGCCAATAATTTAAGCCATAATGAACAAGGAAACCCACAGAAACAACTAACCTGGGCTCAGAGGAGCTAACAGACTCTGGATCTACAGGTAGGGAGCCTTCATGGGACTGACCTAGGCCTTCTACATATGTGTGACAGTTGTATACCTTGGTCTATTTGTGGGACTCCTAGCAGTGGGATCAAGGCCTGTCCCTAATGCTTGAATTGGCTTTTGGGAACCTATTCCTCATACTGTGTAGCCTCGCCCAGCCTTAATACAAAGGGAGGAGCTTAGTCCTACCTCAACTTGACTTGCCATGCTTTGCTGACACCCATGAGAGACCTGCCCCTTCCTGAACAGAAACAGAGGAGGAGTGGATGGGGGGAGGGGAGGCAAGGGGAGGGATTAGGAGGAGAAGGGGGAGGGGAAACTGTGATTGGGATGAGTCGACATGTAAAACAAATGGAAAAAGAATTAATTAAATTAAAAAGAGGGAAAAATTTAAACCATGATCAATTTTAAATAATAGCAATACTAATCCATTCATTTCAATGCACACACAGACAGACCTGTCTGATAAGAGAATACACTATTTTCGTTTGGCAATAGTGCCATGTGATCAAACAGACAAGGTAATACACAACTGTTAAATCTAAATATTGTTTACTTAAGTGACCATTGGTTCTAACTCATATAGTGGCATTGGCTGCTATTTATCCCAGGCCAGATAACCCTCATAATTTTGCAGTCTTGATTTTGTTATACACATATTCTTGGTACAATTCAACGTGTTCCTTGTAATGCAGCAGATTTCTTGAGGTTCAATAGCTGTATTAGAGGCTTTTAATCAGACTCGGGTATGATCCTTTTAGCCAGACTACAGGAGGTAATGTGTTGCTAGATTAGAAGCCAATCATTTCTTTTTTTAAAAAAAAAAAAATTATATATTTTTAAAAAAGTTTTTTTTTTTCATTTTACATACCAATCCTACTTCCCCCTCCCTCCCCTGCTCTTACCTCCCCCATGCATCTTCCCATCCCTCCCCCCATCCACTCCTCAGAGAGGGTAAGTCCTCCCTCTCCCTCGGGGAGTCAACAAAGTATGGCATACTAAATTGAGGCAGGACCAAGCCCCTATCCGCTGTGTCAAGGCTGAGCAAGGTATCCCACCCTAGGGAATGTGTTCCAAAAAGCCAGTTCATGCACCCGGGATAAGTCCTGGTCCCACTGTCAGGGACTCTCCAAATATCTAGCCATATAACTGTCACCCACATTTGGAGGACCTAGTTTGGTCCCATGCATGTTCCCCAGCTGACAGGCCAGAGTCCATGAGCTCCCACCAGCTTGGGTTATCTGTCTCTGTGGTTCTCCCCATCAAGATCTTGACCTCACTTGCTCCTGTGATCCCTCCTCCCATCTCTTCAACTGAAGCCTAGGAGCTCAGCCCAGTGCTTGGTTGTGGATCACTGCATCTGCTTCCATCAGTTACTGGATGAAGGTTCTATGATGACGATTAGGGTAGTCAGTAATATGATTATAGGGGAAGGTAAATTCAGGCACCCTCTCCATTATTGCTAGGAGTCTTAGCTGGGGTCATCCTTGTGGATTCCTGGGGATTTTCCTAGCCTCAAGTTTCTCCCTAACCCCATAATGGCTCCCTCTACCAAGACATCTCCTTCATTGCTCCCCTCTCCAATCCTCCCTCCAGTAGGTCATCTCAGTCCCTCCTGTTCCCATCCCTCATCCCTTCCCTTCTAACCCTTCTCCCAGTTTACCCAGGAGATCTTAACTATTTTCCCTTCTTGGGACCCTTCATGTGTGACCCTCTTAGGGTCCTCCTTTTTACCTAGTTAGAAGCTCCTAATTTCTGATAGTCTCTTTGGGGGACTATTAGCTGCCATCACTGCTGAATAACTAGATCCATCTACTCAGTGGGAGTTTCAAAACTGTGACGTTCTATTTCTATGGGTTTTTTTATTTACTAGCAGAAAACATTTATAAAATAATGGTTTCTATTGTCTATCTGGTTGTGTAATAACAGCATAGGTCACCTAGGGTTCATGCTGCTATTTCCTCTTAATTTAAAAAATTTCACTATAAGAGCTCATTTTTTTTATCATCTTCTAATAAAAAAATCAGATATTTCTTTCCACTTCATGCTGAAAATACAGACTTAAAATATCTATTTGTTGAGATCTGGATCATCATATGAGTAGAAGCCCAATTTATGCCAAATTGGCTGCCAGGTCCTTTTGACCTAACTATTAGTTCCGGTGGTTTCTTAGCTATCTGGAAAACAAGGACTCTCACTCCACAAAATTCCTAGCCTAGACTGTTGCCTCTCCTTTCTTCCACACTGAGACTTGCTGGTTTCAAAGTCATAAGAGGAGAGAATGAGACTATTCCCTGGGTATCTATTTGATCTCCCTACTTCACATATGGAGCGCCTCAGAACTGTATTCTCGGACTATCCTACCAGTACAATTACTAAAAACTGTTTTAGTTGATGTTCTGTATCCATATTAGCTCAAAGGGGAGTCTCCTCAGAGTCTCCATGTGTTCCATGACTTCTTTGCTATTGTACTGACCCCAAGGAAAGATGTCATGCCACTCTGGGGGCCTTAAGCACTTCCCCTTCCATCAATTACATCATGAAATACAGAGAACACTCTGTCACCTACTTCTGTTGTAAACACTGCCTATGGGTTCTGACACTGCTACTCACTTTCTCCTTTTTATAGCATATTTGGAAGTACTAAAAGTCAGGCTGCCACTGCCAATGAATATCCCCAGAATCTTGCAAAATCATACATCTAAATAATCCAGGACTCATCTCATTTTGATATGCTTTATAAAGAACATTAACCCTCTTTGAAGTACAATTGCTCAAATATGTTACTGGAGTAAGATATCCTTCTTGATATCACAAAAATAATACCCATCAATGTTGTTAATCAACTCTAGAAATGCCAACATTTAACACATTTGTTTTTCAAGAAAATCCTAAAAGTAAATTTGTGTATGTTGAAAGTAAGGAAATTATTCCATGAACTGCCACAAAACATACCTTTCATGAATGGAGATGATGCCACTTTGTACATAATCTCATAGATAGTTTCAGACTCAGGGGCAAATGCAATCATATAATTAGAATCATTAAAACTATCAACACGTCCCAGATCCATTTCAGGAATTTGAGGAGCATCATGAACTTGATGTAAATTGGAGGATAATCGGTATGCAAGCAATATTAGAAGAAATGAGAAAAACCATTCCTACATAGTAACGAGAGAAAAAGGAACACCAGGTTTTCTACCATAAACAATTGAAACAATGTCAACCTGTCATACTGCCATGTGTTCTCTCCACTCTATTTGTTCTCTCCCATTTTAATGTAATTGACTTTACTTCTGTTCTCTATAGATCCATTCCATTTATGTGCAGTGCACAGAAGAGGGAGTCAGATTCCCTGGAACTGGAGTTAACAGATGGCTGTGAACAACTATGTGGTGCTGGGAATCAAACCTAGGTCCTCTGCAGGAGCACCCAGTGCTCTTAACGACTGAGCCAGCCCTTCAGCTCCGACTTTCGTTCTTTTGTCTGCGTTGTTCACCAAGACAGAGTGTAACAGCAGGTCCAATGATAACTGAAAATGTTTTCTTATTCAACAATGCAAGGCCGGATGCTTGTCAACTCTAATGAAAGTCTCTTCAGACCCTTTAGAAACCACCTGTCCACAGGAATGGACCACTAGCTTGAACCTGAGAAGGCAGGTGGCATGGGATAGGGAAGTACTTCCATCAACAGAAGCAAGGCCTCATTTTGTTCTTCAGCTGCCTACACATGGAAGAAGCAGCAAAAATACTGTTCATCAAAAGAATTTTAAAGTTCTTTATGATGGTCACTGCATTTTAGAACTGTAGATACAACAGAACATGTCTGAAGCCCAGTGCCATTTTATCATCTTAGTTTGAATTCAAAGAGAGAACTCTAATTAAACTCAGTGGCTCACATACACACACAGAAGCATAAAAGCAGAATGGGCACCTGTGAGATGAAGGATTCTAGTGAAAGAGGATAATGATGATTAAAAGCAACTAAAAGCCATTATATAAATGCATGAAACTGTCAATTGTAAATTTTATTTATTTATTTACTTATTTACTTACTTATTTATTCTTCTCTCATGGTATACCACATTCATCATACACAATTTTAGCTGTGTATATGTATGTACATATATGTATGCATAGAGTTTAAAAGAGTAAACGTTTGGAAGTATAACAATTACTTAAAGTAGGTTCTCAGCTTCTTTATTAATGTTTTTATGACCATTGATTTATGCTTAAGGCTCTTCCATATTTTATTCATTTACAATCTAAAACATTCATCAAATATTTCTTGGATGAATACCCACACTATTCACAGAATCAGACATTAATTTGCTAATTCTTTTAATGGGTGACTTTAATTTGTGTTTATCATGAATTCTACAGGAAACATATCTAATCACTGTTAAAACAAAAAGAGTATTAGTGCAATAAAAATAAAGGCCCCAATATCATTTTTTCTGTTTAATTATAAGCACATTATTGCTTTCAGATTGACCTTGTAGCTACAATATAATTGTTGAGAAGAACATGATAACTACATGAGTATCTTTCCACAGTTTTATAATTTCTTTGTGGTGGGTACTTTTTTCTCCCAGCAAAAAAACCATTCTCTTTTTAAAAACCATTACATTTTTATGACATTTTAAATTATGTATGTGTTTGAGTTTTAAAAGACAAAAATTATATTCATTTATGTGTACAATGTATTTCAATATAGGTATGCATTGTAGAATGGTTAAGCAGAGCTAATTATATATCACTTGCATGTCACTTTCTTGATGAAATCACATGGATTGAATCTTTTGAAATATAAAGAAAAATCAGCATTATATTATTGCACACAACTATGTGCACACTCTGCTAAGCACATCATCTACATCATTGTAATCTATATTTATTATTATTTAGAAATGATCACAATCTTTTATTTTGTATACACCATCACTCTTTCATATATTCATGGTAATATGCAATAAATATTTTTAAAGTATCCACTGTGTATCACACTCCTATCCTACAGGACTGTATATATTTAACCTGAAGTCCTTTCCTTAAAATCACTTTTTCATGAGACATTTATCCATGTTAATGTCTAAACAAGTTTGCTTCCTTCTGTGTTTGAGAATACACACTGGTATAAACCTCAGTAAGTGAATTATTCTTGTCCTGTTGATGTCACAGAGAGTTCTGAGAATTGTTTTGGGCACGGAAATGTAGAGAAAGGAGAGAGCGCCAATGGTAGTTCTTTGTGAAAGGCTTTTTTATTTTTTTTAACCTTAGGTTACACTCTGAAGTAATTATGAATTAATTACTTTGAGTGTCTATGCCTTCATGAGACCCAAATTAAACCAGATGTTAATTACTATCTCTGTACAGCTTCATGTTATAGGGAATTTCTGAATGTGAGTTCTTTTAAAAATGTTTCTAGTAAGATATTTAATGCTACATATTTAAATTTTTCATTTGAAAAAATAGTAGCAAAGTCCAGGACTTGAAAATCTCTAGCCTATTAATTATATCTGGGATATATAAAAAATCATTGATTAATAACTGTGTTGACATCACTGTAAAAATACCTTTTCCTTTCTACATAGGAGAACATAGATCCTGAACCATACCATCAACGTCTCTCTTCTCATCCTGCACTTCTTGAGCCAGTTCTTGCAGAGAAGAGCCCACAATTGCTGACCCACTCCTAAGTGTCTCTTCCTCATTTTGACTTGTTTGTTTTTCTAAAGGATGCAAAGGAAGTAAATGTGGAAGTCTGAAATAGAAAACATTGTGCAATCAAACCAAAAGGAAACATTTTAACAGCTGTTTCCACTTAAATGCCTCCAAAAGAAGGGCTCCAAACACAGAAAACAGAGGAAAGGAAGGAAAATGTGAGAAGGCAGAATCTATTGAAAAAAATAAAAAAGGAAAACAGTTATGAGAGAGAGTCTTTTCTTCGATGGAATGACCTTTCAGAGATTACTAATGTCACATGGTGCTGTCCCCATGAAACTTGGCAGCTAAGCTGACCAAGCTTTATATAGGCTGGTAGAAGTCTCCTGTTATCCTGTCAGTTAGTTAGTTATTACTAATTACCAGTAGTTATTACTAGTTACCAGTAGTTAACTACTAATTACTAGTAGTTATTACTAATTACTAAGTTACTACTCAGCAGAACCCCACTACCAGTCAGTTCTGCTCCTGGGTCTGTATGCCAAGGCAAGGGTTCACAAGGGAACTGTACTCAGATTCTTCCATATATAGGTCACTGTGACAGGGTGTTAGAACACACACTTACAAATACTATTCAAACCTAACTCTGTAGGAATCAGAAGCAATGGGCTGATACTCATGGCTCAATATAAGAAATCTTAAATAACATGGTGTCAACTAAATCTTAAAAAAAAAAGGAAGGAGGAAAGAAGAAAGAAAGAAAAGGTTGACTTATATAACAATATAATTTATATGAATTCACACCATGAGCAATACATATTTCTAAATAGATTCTGGAACTAAAAGATCATTATCAAACACAATTTAAAAAGATTATTTTAGGCAGTGGGAAATAGAAATGGAGGTCAGGTGTGAAATGGGACTTTTGACTCAGAGGAAATAAATAAACAAAAAGAAAAGATAGGTGCTTTGTATGTCATAAACTCAAGACAATGATTAACTCAACCCTTTATTGACCCTTCACTGAAAAACTCCTAGGGAAAAAAAAAACCGAAAACCACAGGTCAATAGCATCTAAGTCCAAGGGAAACAAATGGACATTCTAGATAATTTAATATTGCTTAAAGTGTTTGAATTTTCCAGGTACATAAATAAAGTCCAAGTAATAATGTCATCAGTAGGCTCTGACAGTTGGAAACTGTCATAATAAATACTAAATACTAAATATATAAATAAATAAATAAATAAATAAATACTAAACTACATTTTCAATTAGAAATCAATACTGTGGCAAGCCTGGGTATCCAAAGCATAAAGATATTTTGTCCAAGTGGTGACTCTTCTTTCTTAATTATTATATATGGAGGAAAATAGTTATAAATAAGAACACTTTTATAATCTAACCACCATGCATTATTTGTTCCTGGCTGTTAAGACTTAATTATTCAGTGGTACACGTCCATGCAAAATGCTGTTTGCTCTAGCAGAATAAAATATTAAGTTAGCTTAAATTGCTCTGAATAGTAAATTGTGTAATTTTTAAAGTAACAAATTGGTTATTAAAAGCCAGTAATTTCCCAGTCAGACAGTATTCCTGGTACTCAGGGACTATTGCACAAGTCAGATCATTTTATATATTTAGTATGATAAACAGGTCAGTAGAGTATTTCCTAAGTTTTCTTGGTTAAATACTCTCAAGTCAGTTAAAAACAACTCAAAACTCATAAAATCTTGTATCCCGATGTTTACATTCCTCTGGCAGTAAACCGAAAACCGCCACACACAAAAAAGGAATAAGCAATTCAAGTAACTTTGAAAACAGCAAGAGGCAAACAAGCTACATTCCTTTCCACTTACCCACTTGCCTGTTCCATTATATGTGCTGTTTGCGCAAAATGCTTTAGTCATGGAGTAAAACGGAAAATTTTTAGTTTTTCCAACTGCTCTTTAGCCATGCAATATAAAATGCTCAAAGGACTGAAAAATCAAAGTGACTTACTAGTAACTTCCTACAGTTAATGACTTCCATCGAAATGTTTGACAGGACTTTGCTGCCTTTTCTTGTCCATTGCATTTAAGTGCTAATAACCACCGTTTCAAAGTTAACTTACTGAGGGAAGTTAAAGCAGGAATCTTCAAAAAGTTCATCCACAGATCTTTGTCCGGGAGGAGAATTCACATTTCTTCGTTTTCGGGTCACTGCTGCATCTTGATTTTAAGTTTACTTATGGGGAACGGTTCTGTTCCCTCTGGTTTCTGATGAGAATTCTTCGCTAAGTTCAGACTGACTGCCAAAGCTCTGCTCACTCCTGGGCTGTTTTTTCTTCCTCTGCCTCCCGCCAGTTCCTCGGCAGGGAATTTGTGGTTGCAGATGGTTGGCTGGACATATCTGCACATCAGCAACTATCAAACCAGGAAGAAGCTAGGCTTTTTAAAACCATTTTTATTTCTTTCAGATTAGACCCCAGTAGGAGAGTTTACTCTCAACAGAATCCTTTAAATAAAAATAGTAAAAGGCCAACTCAGAGCAGAGCAAAGCAGAAAAGATTTTCCTAAATTACAGGAATAGACATACAAATGATAAGATGATATCTCAAAGCCCCCCATAGATTTTTAGAAGGTGGATCTACACATGACAACCAAGCAATGTTTTCAGAGTAACAGGGTAAATCTGAATTTTTACTTGCATCTCAGCAGCATTGTGTGTATTCTACTTGCACCATCATTCTTAGGGCAGAAAGCAGACTACTTAGAGAGATGTTGTGTTCTCAGGCTGTGCAAGGATAAGGAACTGAGTTTGATTCCCAGAACCCATGTAAAAATGTCAGGAGTGTTGGCTTAGGGATAAATTCACAGTGCTGCAGGGAGGAAGACAGGAGGTCCCCTGGGGCTTGCTGGCTAGCCTGGCTCGCCCAATTAGTGAGCTCTGTCCTGGCTATTAGGAGACTTTGTCTCAAAGGAAACGAACGTTTCTCAGGAGAATAGTCAAGATTGTCTTCAGGTCTTCATCTGAATTATCTAAGTGCATACACATATACAATGTAACACACACACACACACACACACACACACACACACACACACACACACACACACGGAGTGCAGGGGAAGGAGGGGGGTGAAGGAAAATATTGAGTGTTACATTAACATCAGATCCCAGGAAGCAAGTTTCTCTGTAGACAACCACTGGTTTTCAATATGTCCTGTTGCCCATGTCGTCTATGTCTGCCGCAGGCAATGGCTACCTTATCATGAACATCTTGTGTGCGTGGAAGACAAAGTACCACACAGATACAAAATATTCCTTCAGTATTCCTTCAAGCATATTTGCTTGTTTGCTAATTATATTAGATCCAGAAATTGCTCAGCAAAGTCTGTACAACCAGATTGAACTCATAGTCGGTGAGAACAAGTCTCCTGATTGTTTCTGTATGTCTGTCGCCTTCTGTGGAACACACATTAGCACACTTAATAACAGTGCTAATATTTCATACACAGGGACTATAACTTAGAAAATGTCTTATTTCTTAGAAATGAATGTATTTCCTCTTTCCTCGGACCCAGTTGAACTGCATGCATGTAGATTTTGTCTGATAGTCTCCTTAAATATATACTGTTTCTTAAAAACAGTATTTGTCAAAAAAACCAAAAAAAAAAAAAAACCAGTATGTGAGGGACTAGAGAGATGCTCAGTGGTTAAGATCACTTTCTACTCTTTTTAGAGGACTGGTTTGGTTCCCAGCACTCACATGGCAGTTCCAGAGAGACCTGATGCCTTCTCCTGGCATCTATGGACCTTGCATGCATGTGAAGTAAAGACATATACTCAGGCCAATGACTCTCAATACAATTTCTCATGCTGTGCTGACCCCCAACCATAAAATTATTTCTGTTGTTACTTCATGCGGGACGTTTTCGCACCAACCCCACAGCTCCCCAGAGTTTTCTTGAGTGTGAGCAGCAGGAAATATTAGATAGAAGGATTTAGATTGTGGAGATAAACAGATAGAAAATAAAGGATAGCCTCGAGAGGGCCTATTCCAATGAGCCCCAACTGTCTCTGCCCCAGGGTATTTATAGAGACGCCAAGGGGTGGAGCAAAACACTTGCTCCCCCAGCACAGCCATCTCAGACACCTGCACTCAGGCCCGTGGTCCTAATCATCCTCTCTATGCGGACCTGCTGGGTAAAGCCACGAGGAACCTGAAAACGGGCTCCCACAACTTCATAAGTGTGATTTTTCTACTGTTATGAATCATAATGTAAATATCAGATATGCACACGACCTTAGGTGACTCCTGTGAAAGGGCCATTTGACCCCAGGAGTTACAACCCACAGGTTGAGAAGCAGTGATTTAGGCAAAACTCCTACAACTTATAAAATGAAAATAAGTAAATCTTTTTTTTTAAGATTGATTTATTATGTGTACAGTGTTCTGTCTGCATGTATGTTTGCAGGCCAGAAGAGGGTGCCAGATCTCACTACAGATGGTTGTGAGCCACCATGTGGTTGCTGGGAATTGAACTCAGGACCACTGGAAGAGCAGTCAGTGCTCTTAACCTCTGAGCCATCTCTCCAGCCCGTAAATCTTTATAGATATATATTAAAGAAATTATACTTGATTCTGTTTTATGTACTTTTCCCTGGAATATCCTTTTGATGATATATTCCAGCCCTCCACTTTTAACTTTCATTTGTTAGGTATATTTTGATCAAGCACCATTATTTTGTATGTAAGATTCCTTTTTAAGTAACGTAATTAGATTTTTCCTTTTATTTAATTTGATTTTTTAATTTCACTTTTATAGAAGAAGTACAAGTCAAATGGTGAATCAATTTCCTTCGCTCATTTTATTTTAAGTATATCTTAATTTTTTCCTGATGCTTTCCAGTTTTCCATTTCTGCACAGATTGTGTTTTCTCTGTTCCTTTCTGTGGATTCCTTTATACCAGATCTTGTCTAGAAAGTGCTGGATATTAATTTTGATCTACTAATGACGATCTTTAAATGTTAACAAACATACTTGAACTTCAGCTACTCTGTCTGCATTCAGCTTTTCTCTTCACCCTTCCAGCTCCCTACAGGTTAAACATATTTGAACCTGAAGCTTCACCTGTACACTTTATTCATTGTGCAGTTCCGAGCTGAGAATTTGCCCTAAACGCCTGAGTCTCCACATTTATGAGATTCAGAGCATACATGATGATATCCAAACAGGAATCATTTAAGATTTAATCCTTGAGATCTGAGGCTATAAGGGTGGCTCATGGGTTAAGAGCATTCATTGGCTGCTCTTCCCAAGAACCTGAATTTGATTCCCAGCTCATACATGATGACTCACAACCATCTGTAACTCCAGTGCCAGGGGAACCAATGTCCTCTTCTGGCCACAGGCAACAGGCACACACACAGTGCCCAGACATACATCCAGGCAAGACAGTCATGCACATAAAACTTAAAAAATAATTTAAGAAATACCTTTTGGATTTGAAGAATAAGATGGTAAAAATGGAAAGACATCAAATGTTGCTCTTGAAGTCTGTTGTTGGGTTTTGGTTATAATTAGTGTCTTCACCACAGTAAAATAACATGCAATTTTCTTGTCTCCTGTAGTTTTGCTGGTAAGAATGCATATATAAGTGCTGGAGAGATGGCTGAGAATTCAAGAATGCTTGTTGCTTTTGCAGACAACTTGAGTTCAGTTCCCTGTACTCTTGTGGGGTGTTTTGTTTTTCTTACTAGGAAATTTAAAGATTTTTCTCTTTCACCACAGTTGTATGAAATATAACAACATGTTCAGGTATGCATTTTGTTTTGTCTTGTATGGAACTTTGTAGTCACAAAGATCCTGAAGTTTGATTTGGTTTTGAGGTTCTGGGAAATTTTCAAATAAATACATTTGTCAAATATTTCTTCAGTTCTAATCTTTTTCCTGGAGATTTATTAGGTAGTGGAGACATACTATATGTTTCTATCTTTTGTCTACTTGCCTCTTAGAAATAAGAAAGCAATCCTCTTTCACACCAAATAAGCAATCTTGAAGACATGCTTTTTGTTACGTTCCTCTCAAGGATGCCTTGATGATGGCCTGCTTGCACTGAAAATACACAAGACTTTCTTCCATCTAGTTCTGCCTTGTCTATAACTCCAGCCTCACTGGGCTGTAACTATACCAAGTTCTATTTACTTCTTTTCTTCCCTAGACTTAACTCTACAAGCTCTCCACTGGATCTCTCTTAATGACAAAGATTGAGCCCTTTGGAGTTCAGCTTTGACCACTTTTTGCCCCTAGGATGCCTCCTTACTTGAATCCTGTAAGGGGTGCATATCACTGCCAGGTGCTCTTACAACATACAATGCATACCATGTAGAACTCATTTCTTTATAGACTGGGCATACTCATCTCTTACCACATAGTGTAAAGATCCAGATAATGATAAAGAATCTGTAAAGGGAGCTGAAGATGGGTTAAGAGCACTGGCCACTCTTGTAGAGGGCCTGGGTTCTGTTCCCAGCATATACATGTTTACGATGTCTTATCTTAGAGAGAGAGAGAGAGAGAGAGAGAGAGAGAGAGAGAGAGAGAGAGAGAGAGAGAGAGAGAATCTATATTGTACTTACCACACAACCTAGAATATGAAAGTTGCTCATAATAAGTGTTTTGAATTTGAATGTATAGTAAAGAAAAGGACATAGAGAAACAAAAGAAAAATATCTATTGTTTTCTAGCAGTATGGTTATGAGAGATTTGTGTGGCACCTAAAAACAAGTAGTTTGGGGTTCAAGAGAAGGTTCTTTGTGTGTTTTCTGTTGTTGTTCAGTGTAGGGTCTTACTAAATAACCCAGCCTTAAACTCACACCAATCTTCCAGTCTCATCCTCCCCAGTACTGCAATTATAGGTGAGAGGCACCATGCCTAGCTTGGTTTTGGCTTTTTTAAAGATGAAGCTTAAAAGGGCAGGGAAGAGGGAGATGCAAAAAATGGGAGAAATCAAGTAACAAAGTGTTGTGTTTTTTTAAGGGGTACAGATAAATATTGTAGAAGAAACATGATGATAGTTCTACCTTGAAGAAGGGAAATATAAAGTGCCAGTGAAAGCTGAAGGGATGCTAGTTAGTAGGAGTAAAGTGTCTGGTGGAGCACTAGCTTGATTTCTCCATGCTTGATGATATAACTCTGCAGTAGTGTCTTACCACCAGGCTGTGGAGGGTAACCCATAATACTGGCAATTGTCTATAATGTTTTATCTGAGGGGGCATCTATGGGACCATTTTGGCCAACAGTTCAAAAAGATATAACCCATTTCTGGTTCTAGAGATTTTATTTGATAGCTTATGACATCTAGTCAGGCACTGTCTACCCCATTAT